AAAAAAAAAAAAAACGTTCATATGTGAGAAGGTAACATTAAATATGCAACGCCGGGGAGGGGGGAAGACAAAATTTCCGAAATTTTGCGAGCGCACACCTGTGCCTGCATGATAGGTGTAAAAAAGAAAAATAAAAATAAGACGCAGCGATCTTTTTACCATTTGCGATTTCCTCCGTAGTATCCTTCAGTTTGCCCTTATTCAGCAAAGCCTTTTTCCTTTTCACAGAATGGTTATCTTTTCCTCCCTCCAACTTTTCACCTGAAAGTTGGTCACTCTGGGAACTTCCCGATTCATCACTTTCATCGGTGGGTGAATCCGTCGCGACGGCTGAATACTCCTCCGAGTTATTCGCATGCTCACTTGGGTCTTCATATCTTAGCTTGCTCATTTTTCTTTTCTCGTTTTCCCTTTGGATTTTTTCCCTCAGCAACTGAATGTAGGTATTTCCACCAGGGGTAGCACAAGAATTCTTGTCACCGCCTTGGTATCGATCTTTGCCTTGACCGTCATCGTCACCATCGTATTCGCATTCCGTGTCTTGCGCATCCCCTTTTCTGTTCTCATTCAATTCGTTCACCAAAATTTTTAACTTCACCCCATCGTCATTGATTTCATTTCCGTTGTCATCATAGAGCACACTTTTGCTTAGCGTTTTGGCCACCTTCACTCTCTTCTTTCTCTTTTTGGTTGGTAACATCACTGGGGAGTCCTCCTCAATTTGGGCCTCCTTTTGGATAAATAAATCTTCTTCCTCTTTTGCGTCCGAATCTGGTATCTGCGGGGTATTTTGTGGGGAGTTGTCCCCCATGCCTTCTCTACAATCAGCTTCGTGTGAAGGGACATCACCTTGGGTTCTCTCGCCCTCCACGGGTGCACTGCCCCCCTTCAACTTCTTCCTTTTTAGTATTTCCATAAACTTCTCAAAACGGGACCTCTTCTTCTTTACTTCGACCTTCTGGTGGTCAGCTATGTTCAACTCCTCCATCATGGATTGGGAAAATTCGATGAGCCCATATGAGTAGGCCAGCTCATTAAGGTTGAGCTTCTTTATGTCCTTAAATTTCATGACAATATATAAATGCCTCAGATAAATGATGAGGGCCTTCTTAGCCAAATACTTTATATCGACAAAGGCAGCATTTAGAGAGTGTATTTTATTGTTAATGTCAAACAGCTTATTTTTTTTGATAAATTTTTCCTTAATTTCTATGTTGTTTTCTTTTAGCACGTTTAAGAAAATGTTTTTGTTATCAATTTGTGTGGTTAGGAAGATGAGGCTGTTGCCTACGTTGGTGAATCTTCCGGTTCTTCCTGACCTGTGAATGAAGGTTTCCACATTTTCTGGAAAATCAAAATGGATGACCCAGTCTACAGAGGCAAAGTCCAAACCACGACAAGCGATATCAGTGGTGAATAAGCAGACGAAGTTTCTTTTTTTAGAAAAAAAATGGTACGTATTTAAGCGGCTTGTCTGTTTTAGCTTCCCATGCAGTTGTAAAAACTTCATTACGCCAACTTTGATTTTTCTAAACACTTCATACATAAATCGAACTTGCTTACATGTGGAGAAAAAAACAATTATCTTTTTGTTCTTTTTTGAAAACAAGAAAGTGTACAAATAGTTGATCTTGCTATAAATGTCGCACTCGATGTAGATCTGCTTCACGTTGTTACTCTCGATGTATTTGTCGTTGTCGTTGATGCTCACGTATTCGTAGTCCCTAATGTTGAAGGTTCTCAATATGATGCTTAAAAATTTACAAATCGTGGCTGAGAACAGACAGATTTGGCAATTTTCCTTGGGCTTGTACAGCAAAATATTCTTCAAATTGTCGTAAAAACTGCTATCAATTAATTTGTCAATTTCGTCAATCACGAGGGTGCTCAAGTAGTCCAAGTTGCAGTAGTAGTTGTTTTCCAAGTGGTACAGTAATCTGCCCGTTGTGCAAACAATAATGTTTGCGTAACTAAAAATTGATTTCTCTCTCTCTTCATCCTTCCCGCCTATCGCGCAGCATATATTTAGCTTATGATATTTATTTAACATATTTAGGACTTCAAAAATTTGAAACACCAATTCCCTCGTTGGGGTAATTATCAGCCCTCCCAAAATTCTATTGTAGTTGTCAATGCTATTTCTGTACAGTTTTTCCACCAGGGGGATACAGAAACATAGCGTTTTTCCAGTTCCCGTTTGTGCTTGCGCATAGATATGCTTATTTAGCAAAACGATGGGGATAGACACTGCCTGTATGTTTGTCATCTGCACAAAGTTGTTTTCGTTTAGCACTCGTAGGGTCCTTTTACTTATTGGCAATCCCCTAAATTCGTGCTCTGTTAGAACATTTTTATCTATGATCGTTAGGTTATTGTTATAAACCTTATTTTTTTCTTTTTTTTTGTCGCCATTGTGGTTGCCATGTCCAGTCGTCTTGCTCTCATCTTTGCCATTTTCCCCCTTTGGGGGGCTATCACTGGGGTGTTTGCCTTTGTCAAAGTGGCTTTTCCATTGTTCTTCGTATTGTTTTCTTTTATTTTCCTCAACAAGGGCTTCTAACTTTTCATCGATATCTTTCTGTAACTGGGCTCTCTCGTCGACTTGGTTCTTCCCATCATTCTTTCTGCCCTGGTTTCCTTTCCTGTTCTTCCTCACTTTGTTTCCATAGTTTTTGTTAAAAATTTTTTTCTTTTGAATTGGCTGCCCCCTGTTTTTACCTGACATGTTCATATTTTTTTTTCTTTTTTTTTTTTTTGCTAGCTAGCTATGTTTTTCTATTACGACATTTACAAGCTAATCGTCTTCGCATTCGCCGGGGAAAAGCAGAGCGGGAGCAGATACAGTGGAAACTCTACATGTATATAAAAGCGTATATTTTTCCTTATATACCTACATATTGACGTGTTTATAATTTAAATATGTAACCACGGCATGGCCTTGAAAAAACGAATTTACAAAAATGATCTTCAAAATGGTATAAACTCTATATTTTTAACTTATGCCCCAACTCTGAGATATTTATGCTTAGGCAAAAAATACATGTTGGTACTGACCTCAGTGGAGGGGCGTTATTTTTTTTTTCTTTTCATTACAATATCTCGATAATGTTCCACGAAACGCGCATAGTAAAAAGACGTGGGGGGAAATTATTCATCTCAATTTAGTTAACCCCCTTCTTCTGGTTTGTTACACGCCCCTGCTAAGATCGAATTAAACATGGGTCGTTTGAGATTTATTCTTTTAATTTATAAACGGGAAAAAGCGCGCACGGTTTTGCCTTTTCCCCTATATTTTTACGCTTTACGGTGTCGGAAAAGAAAGGCGATTTATCCTTCTCACGTTTGGGCAAATATGCATGTTTTATGCGATCACTCAGCGACAGCGGTCAGAACACCTTATTTGCGCCGGGAGGCTAAAACAGCGTTCCAAATTTTTATTCTCCTTTGTCAGACGTTCCTCTTTGCAGGCTTCCCTTTTTTCTAGAATACTCCAAACAAGCAATTAAAAGAAACGCGATAGAGGCGATTAAAAATAAAATTTCACAAAGATTAAAATTTTGGCAGACGTGCGCGAATGATGTATATACGTGGATATGCATATACTCAAAATAGGTAAAATAATAAAATACTAAAAAGGGCAATAATTTTTTGGTAGAAGAGGAAGAAAAAAGCAGGGGAGAGGGAGTAACCGCAAGAAAAGAAAAACAAGTGGCACATTTAAAAATTACTTAAAAACGTGCACAATAGGGGGGCAAAATGAATATGTCAAGAGGGAAGGCAAAAGAGAGTAAAAAAAAAAACGAATAAAGGGACACTTTAAAAATGCGTTTAAAAAAAGAACAAAATGACACTTTAAAAAGCCGGTTAAAAAGAACGAATTGACGACAAAAACTTATTCCTTCTGGCACACCTATACACACGCGTGCAGGAACATTCTCCTCCTACCACCACGCGCAGGGAAATTTATAAAAAAATTCGCCATACGCCGCAAACGTGGAGTTACTCGTCGTACTTTATAAATAGCATTTTCTTCAACTCAAGGGGCTCCAATGTGTCCAAATGGGAAAAATTTGTGTTATCAATATAGTCCAGGTGCAGGGCTGAAAATTCACCAAACTTTGTTTCATCCAGTTTATCGGAAAAGGCATTTAAACGAATCGAATATTTCCCTTTAGAGAGAGACTCACATTTTAAATAGTTTATCTTATTAAGAGTTGTAAGCTCAATGGATTTGTCAAGCAGTTTTAAATCTATGTTATGTTTTATGTCTGACAAAATGGCATTTCTCTTCACTTTAATTTCTCCAATCACTTTGAGATACCTCTCTTCCCCCTGTTCATTTTTCAGACATAGAACAAAATCTGTATTTGCACCACTTGTTGTGCTTTCACTACTTTTGGAATATAAAACGGAGTATAATTCCTTTTCCGTCTTCTTTATGAACTCACTCGATTCAGATGTTTTTATCACCATGTTGGTACTCTCATTCGGCTTCGCAGGTGGAAGAGCTACTTCCTTCCCCGCCTTTTCATCTTTGCAGTCATAGAATGTCATCTGGTTGCTGTCCACCAATTTGGCTCCTTTTCCCGGGGTTACCAATAAGCTGTTATTCACTGAGATATTCAATTCTTCTTCATGGACTCCCTCCCCAATTTGTTCGACCTGCTTCGCGTCTACGTCCTCACAGTAGACCCGCGCGTGTTGGTCAATGGGTGGTGAGCAAACGACACGGCCTTCGGCGTTGCAGTTTCGGTTAGCATAATCCGTTTCGCCATTTTTGTCTTCCCTCTCAGAAGGCTCTTCTCTGTTTGTGTTACCTTGCGGAAAAATCTCCCCTTCTGAATTGTGCAAATAATATTTGCTCTTATCCGCAGTGTGATGTTGTGAGTTGCCGTGAAAATGGGCCTCTTCGCAGATATTGGGCTGGTTTAAACTTTTGGAAGGCCTGCTAATTGGTGGCCCCTGACACCGCAGTCCATTGACGCGATCTCCAGAGGTCCTAACTCTTTCACTCACCACTGATGATACGCTGTTCGAGTCGGCAATCCGGTTGGTGGTATCAACCGTGGAGCTTCCCCTCTGCCGAGGAGTGCCAAAATTGGAGTGAAAAATGTTGTACAATTTGTTCATGTGTGGTTTCTTCTTCTGCTCACTTTGAAAAGGACGGGGGAAACTCATTTTCGAAGGTGCTATCCTCCCTGGTGTTGTCAGCGGCTTGGGCGGTGTTATCTGCTTGGACGGTGTTATCTGCTTGGACGGTGTCATCGTATTTGGAGGGGTCACCCCCTTAGGGGGTGTGAACGATGGATATTTCGTAACGGGAGTACACTCCGGAAGGGCATGGTTGTCTTCCCCGGCATTTTCTTTCGTGACACTTTTGTTTATCTCCTTACACAACTCAACACACGCGTTGAGCAGTGTCACTGGAAGTTCCTTCGTTTGGTTGGCGCTTTTTAACGTACCCTTTACTTTCTCTTCCTTCTTAATGGACTCCTTTATGCACAAAGGGGAAATCCTGCTTTGGCAAATTTTGTTAATCTTTTTAATGCTTTCATTAAATTGGGTGTTTGGCGAATCTTCTTTGATCATTTTGCTAACTGACGTGGATCCTTTACTTACCATGGTCTTATCCTCCCCAGAAATCTTCCTCGGTGTGCTGTTAAGGTTGGCGAAGGAATTCAAATTGTCCATGTAATGCAGTGGTTCGTTTGGTATGGACGTCCTGTTAATAATTAAAAATATCAAAATGGATACATTGGATTCCTGCTCCTCATTTTGATTACTTAGTGAAAAATTGGTTGATACAATTTTGCTAGCTTTTCCATCTTCCGCTTTGGTAATTAACGTCTTGTGTATGCAGTTGTCTTTACTGTAGGTGCACAAATTATTTATGTTAAAAATGTTGGCCATTTTGTTGTACTTAATCTTGTAGATATATTTTGCGTTTGTTCTTTTCTCCATGTTTTCGATGCCCAGGAAAAGGCTATCTTCATCTTTGACTTGGTCAATGTCCACCACGGAGTTGTTAAGTAGGGTCGAATTGCTTCTCGACTTGTTAATAATAAATAAGTTGTATTTATTAATTTGTCTGTTTCTGTCACTACAATGGTTGATATTTTTCTCCACACATTTGCATACCAATTCGCATTGTTCTCCTTCGATGTTTCCCCTCAAAACTAGGTCGCACTTTCTGTTGGACGAGCCTATCACAAATTTTTGCTTTTTTATATTTATAATCTCTGGTATTCTATTTAGCTTTCTTTTATTTTCTTCTCCACCCGGTTTATCTCCACTGCTGTAGTTAATTCTCTCCAGGGAGTAAAACACGTTTTTGCCTTTCCCGTAACTATATATATTGTACTTACTGTTTGGTGAAAAATTGCTATTATTGCGAGTACTATTTTTTATGAATTCGTTTATTGACTTCCTTATTTGCTTATTCTTAATGATCGTCATTTTTTTTTTTTTTTTTTCTTGGAATCTCATTTGGGTAATCGCTTTCGCTGGCGGCATTTGCCACATTCGGGTAGGTTGCCTTCCTCATCTTCAGTCTTTTCTGCATAAAGATTTCCTCTTTGCAGTCGGAATTGGATCCGCTTTTTATCTTGTCCCCAGGGAGGTTGTCCTTCACGGGGGGTGGTCTCTTCCGTCCTTCCCGCTTGGGTAGTTTCCCCTTCTCTACCTTCCCTGTTTGCATTTTCTCCTTTTCCTTCCCCTTAAAATTACTCTCTATTCTCATTTTGCACACCATATGGGAGTTATCTTTGCTCTCCTGGGCATCCTCCTTCTTGTTGGCCAAGAGGGGCGCTCTGTTCAACCCCGCTTGGTGCTTTTTCTTCTTCACAATCACTGTACTGCGCCGTTTGTTGTCTATTCCTTTTACGCTCGTTCCCTTTGGATTCGCGCTGCCCTTGTTTAACGACGCGCATTTTTTCGTATCCACCACGACCACCACTCCCTTTTCGATTTTTTTATTATTCGCTTTTGGGGTCTTCCCCTGGTTGTCACGGAAAGTGGTATTCCCCTGGTTTCCGCTTAAGGTAACCTTTTTAACCAATGTGTTCTTCTTCAAATCATTTGCCGCCTTCATGTATATCTCCCTCCCGGAAGTGGATTCTTTTCTCCCCTCCTGGGTGTCCCTTTTCTCCCCTTTTTTCAATTTGTCTCTGTCCCTACTTGGCCCTCTTTCCTTAAGCTTAACCTTCACGATCGTCTTTAAGCTTACATTGCCCCCCGCGATTTTGCCCGGATTGTTGCCCTTCGTTAGGCCGGAATAGCCATTTTGCTCTATCAGTTTAGCTTTGTTCTCCCTGAGACGTAACAGTCTGTCACTTCTCCTCCTCTCCGTGGGGCGATAATCATAAGTGGCTATTTCTTCCTTTTTACCTTCTTCACTATGCACACGGTTTTCATTTTGTTCGTGGGTTTCCTGGACAATGTTCAGAGTCATGCTTGTCTTGTCCACGCGGTGGCTGCCACTCCTATGGTGTCTTCTTTGGTGTAGCTCCCACGTTTTGCCTACTCTGGTGTTGCCCCTTCGTCTTTTCTGCCCTGATGTTACCGCTTCGTCTTTTCTGCCCTGATGTTACCGCTTCGTCTTTTCTGCCCTTGTGTCACCCCTTCGTCTTTTCTGCCCTGGTGTCACCCCTTCGTCTTTTCTGCCCTGGTGTCACCCCTTCGTCTTTTCTGCCCTGGTGTCACCCCTTCGTCTTTTCTGCCCTGGTGGTTACTTCCCTCCCTTCTTAAGCAACGCGTTATTCGCGCGTAAATTTGCCCTCCCTTTGTCCTTCCGCGTTCGGGCAAAATGACGCCCTACCGAGACCCTCTTTTAGAGCGTTTTTTTTTTTTTGTCCTCCTTGTTCGGATTCGACCCTCCAATATATGCATCTTCTCCCCTTGGCGATTCCCCTTTCCCTTCCGTCCTTTTTTATGCTTTCCCTCGTTCAACCGCGCCTATAGGGAGCACCTTCAAATGCCACACGAAAAGGAAATGCACCTCCAGATGGCTCATACCATGAGCGCAAATGCATACACTCATAGTATTTGCATCCACACGTCTGCGTTTAAAAAAAAAAAAGTGAACGCACTCTGGGTATGTGCCCTTTCAAATGAATGGTGTCAAATGAGTGGTGTCAAATGGGTGGTGTCAAATGGGTGGTGTCAAATGGGTGGTGTCAAATGGGTGGTGTCAAATGGGGGTGGTGGGTTGCCACCTGTTCCACTGACTCGCGCGAATACAGGGATGGGTGTGCACAAACATGTTACATCTTATGTGCGTATGGTTGTGCCCTCAAGTCAGCGTAAATGAAATAATGCCACAAAGTGAGCAAAATTATTCACAACAAAAACGGAAAGGGGAAGTGAATAAGCTTGGATGGGTAATAAATTCCCTTATATGGTATTTAAAATGATAAAACAGTACAGCACACTGGATTCAAATTGAGAAAAAAAAAGAAAAAAAGAAAATAAAACGAAACGAAGAAAAAGGCTGCTAAAAGATGTAGTAACAAAATTTTTTTTTTTTTTTTTTTTTCCTAATTTGCCACAACTTATTTTAAATGAGCTGATACGATGTGTATGACGGAAATTCTAAGCTAAAACTTTAAAGACGAGGATGAGGGGTGGAAGGAAATTAAAAAAGGGCAGTTCACTAATGGCAAGCGGAATTGATTGCGCGGAGCGGGAGGTGAACAAAACGGCTTTGACACAACAGGCGGGAAGGCGAATGCGGTGGTTTTAAAAGAAGAGCAAAAGGGCTTCGCTCGGGGCTGTTTGGTTGCTCTGTTTAGTTTCTTTTCTTGGTTGCTCTGTTTAGTTGCTTTTCTTGGTTGCTTGTTTTGCTGCTTTCCTTTTTGTTCTGTTCCTCTTCTTTCCAATTTTTTTTTTAAATGACAAATTATTCCCAACTTGGCTGAATGGTGCGCGCAGCAAGCATGTTCACTTCCCACAGTTGCAATTTTTTTTCGTCCCACTTGTCAAAGCATTGTCTTTTAGAAAACCTCCCCCTCCCTTTAGCAACTGGGCTGGAAAATTATTCACGTAAAAGTTGTGCAGCTCATTCAGGTTGACCTTCTTTCTTCCACAGAATGTGCAACAGGGATGTAAAAAAAAAAGAAAAAAAAATTGCACGATGTTTTATGTGAGGACAAGTATTTACGAAAAATAGTGAACGTTGCAAAATTCCATTTCTTTTCACCTTCCTCCACTCTTTTTTGGAAAATATTACTATGTTTTACTTGGCAAACCTCATGCTGCTTAACTCCATTCTGTCCTGTGCCGCTTCCCCTTTTTTTCAAACTCAGTGCAGCGCGTCCATCTTGGAGCTCGCTTCCAAAGAGGCATTCCACTTTCAAATTGCAATTTGCAAGGTTCGGAATTTTTAGGGGTTACAAGGTGTAGGGGAAGGAAATAAAAAAAGAAACACCCCAATGGGTGGCAATCGAGTAGACCAACCATTTAACAAGCCGTGCTCCACGCGAGTGTCAAGGAAAATCCCTTTATCCCTGTTTTCGACTAAATATTTCCCTTGTCTGTTTGTTCCTGTGCAATCATCCATTTCTGTTTCTATAGCGAAGCTAAGGTGAACTACGGCGAGGGGACATTCATTTTGGCATAGGGATGCGCCCTGTTTCTCCCCCGCGAGAAGTTCACATGTGCAAGGGAGCATGTTGGAAATTCCACCTAGTAGCCATCTATTTAGCGTTTGCCAAATGGAAATTGTTAGCTGTTCATTTTGGTGGTCTATTTTTGGCTAATAGAATGGGGATAGGTGGGGGATACTTATGGGATGAGCATTATAAATCAGGAGGAAGTTTCTCCTTTTCTTTGTTAATCAATCCCTCAGTATGAACAAATCCAGAGTTACCATTCATCCGTTTCACGTACTTCTATGCATGCAGGCCGATTTGCCAAAGCGCTGTTGCAAAATGGGCAACGTGGGGGTGGCCATTCTGCAAGGCTTTGGCTAGCTGTTCCCTGTTGTTTTTCCCCAATTTTTTTTGCGCATCCGACAACATTTCCACCCGCACGAAATACCGAACAGACGAGAAAAAAGAAACATAGAGGGGGATAGACCTCTCAGAATTAGCATAAGACTCTGGTGTTTAGCCTTTTTTTTATCAATATATAGTGTCCTTTTTTTTTTCTTTTTTTTCGTTTCTTTTCTCATCTGCGCATAGCTTCCAAGGGTTAAAAAATTGCGCCTTCTATTTTTCATCAATAAGAATCGCCAAATGGTACCATGAGAAGGTCGACAATTTTGCCAAGAAAAAAAAAAGTTGTAATAAAACGAGTGGAACAAGTCATTTTGCAGTTTTTTTTTTTTTTTTCCATGCTAAATATTCTCCACCTCCCAGCGGAGTTGGCAAAACAGTTCCCCCAGGTTTCATCCTGCTTCTCGACGCGTAGGATGTACTTAAAAAGAAAAAAAAATTCATAAGTTGCTAAGAAATAAATACCGCTGTTATTTTTTCCGGGCGACCATCCCAAGGCGGGGACGCAATTTTTTAGCCCCTTCGAATTTTGGAAGGAAGGAAAAAGGGAAATCGCGCAAACTATAAATTACAAATAAGTTAGAAATTACAGATGACGAATTAGAAGTTACAAATTACAAGTTACAGATTACAAACGCGTAAATGACAGGGTGTGGAGGCTGCTGACCGTTAAATGAACTGAGGAGTGAATTCCCAGCTTGTTTTTTTTCTTTTGCCAACATACGAATGAGCAGCATATAGGTTGGAAGAACTAGTGCCAAGTGAATAGGACAAGATGAGCGAGAACGAGGGGGAGAAGCAGCCCCTAGGAGATATTTCTCTGCTAGGGGAGCTGCAACCCAGGGAGGAGCGACATCCCGTGGGGGAACGGCCGCAGAAAAAGCCCTTCACGCAGCTGAACCTAGACGAGTCCATACTATTTTCGCTGCTGATTCAAAGGTACCTGTTCTGCGCCAGCATACAGGAAAAGGCCATTCCCCTCATTTCGAAAAAGGAAAATGTCCTCCTGCACTCCGAAACCGGCAGCGGAAAAACGCTATGCTTTGTTATTCCTATGCTACAGACTTTGGTGAAGTCCAAACTGGGGGCCATAAGAAGGGACCATCTTTTCACGTCCACATGTGAGGACGCAAAGGAAAGGGAAGACGAAGAAGAAGAAGACGACGATTGTTACAACGAAGATAGAGTCAACTCTATCTGCAACAAATTTGAAAATGTAAACATAGAGAAGAGCATTATCCCCCATGTCGACATAAATGTAGCAAAGTTTATTCAGCATAGCAGGGCCTCTCTGGAGGAAAAAACCCACAAGAAGGATGTCGCTATGCGGAATGGAGGAAGAGTTAACAAAGATGTTCAGTGCCCACCCCGCGGTAACAACCTGGACTGCGACTCCATTAAAGACGTTGTAAAAAAAGCCATTCGATGCACCACGAGTGAGAACAAGAGCAAACATAACATACACGTGAACGGAGTGATTGTGGCCCCCACCAGAGAGTTATGCATACAAATATACGACGTAGTAAATAAATTTCTGTTTTTCATAAGATTATATTTTGCTAAAACTTTTAACATAGATGTGGACGAATTGGACAAGGAGGTCTTTTTCGTGAACTCCCTGCTATTTAGGGGTGCTGTAAAAATTGAGGAGGATTTAAAAATTATAAAAAATGAAAAAAAAAAAAAAAACAGATACCAGATCGTAGTGGCGACCCCGGGGAAGTTATCAACTCTCTTTGTCGATCACAACTCCTACTTTGACACTAACGAGTTAGCATATTTGGTACTGGATGAGGGGGATAAATTGTTGGAACAGAGCTTTTTAAACTATGTCCAGGATGTTGTTAGGAGCATCGTCTCGAAGGACTATGCCACGTGCATTTGCAGCGCGACGTGTCTGCAGGAGGAAAAATTTTACAACTTGTTCTCGGACAAGAGAAGAGCCTTCATCAAGTGCGTGGGGGGGGCAGCCGCGGAAGCGCCCGCTACAACTGTGATGGGCGCTGCTACCGCTGCGGGAGATGCGGCCGATTCCTCTACTGCCATCGCCAGCGCTGGCAGCACCGCGGGGAGCACGTTCCAAATACCAGACAAAATCGAAAACTACTACATCACGGTGCGAAACCTGGACAAAAGCTTCTTTCTCTTCAAATTCGTGAGCACAGTGGTGCGTGAGGGCGAGGCAGTGATCGTATTCTTGCCGACGTGTTTCTGCGTGGATTTCTTCTTCCACGTATTCAAGAATGTACTTAACACGGAACAGAGGAGCGCGAAGGAAATTTTTAATCAACTCGAAACTCTCAACAGCAGACATAAGAATGTGTTCAGCCAATATGATCTTGCGCTCTTCTGCAAAATGATTTGTTACACTCACAAATATATGGGGAAGAAAAAATTCATTCTTTTAAAAATACACAGAAAAATGAAAGACAAAAAAAGGATAAGTGCGTACAAGAAGATAAAAGAAGACAAGTGTAAGAGTAAGAGTAAGCGGAGGATCAAAATTATTTTCTGCACAGATATTATGAGCAGAGGAATTAACGTGGACATTCATTGGGTCATCAACTACGATGTTGCCAATAAAAATATGACGTACATCCATAGAAGTGGCAGAACAGGAAGATTTGATAAAAGAGGGAAAAGTATAATTCTGCTTAATAAGAAGGAGAAAGAATATATATACTTTTTAAAAAATAAAAAAGTGAATATCAGCAATTTTAGGAAAACATCCATGTTCAGGGACATGCTCAGTTGGGAATCCCGACTGATGAGAAGTGAAGACACGTTGGACGCACAAGTGCGCGAAGTAGCCAACTTGGAGAAGGAGGACGTGGGGAAATCCGTCCCTGAGAAAACCCTTTCGTTTTATGGAAGCGCGCGCGGGGAACGCGTTGAAAGGAGGGAGGCAAAAAAAGGGGGAGGTGCCAAGGGGCAGCCTCCCAAAGGAGATTCAACCGAGGGACTTTCCCCCAAGAGGGATGCTCACATCCTTTTTCTGAACAACATGGTGAACATATTTCTAAAGTACATAATTTTTTTCATCATCGAGAACAGAGAAACATATTTGCTCTCGACGAAGGCGTTTCTTTCCTACATGGAATTTTACAGAAACCACCAGCTGAGTTTTCTCTTCCCCTTCCACAAGCTCAATCTGTCGCACCTGTGCTACTCCTTTGCTCTGGTAAAAATCCCTAAATTTAAGCAGAAGAGCCAAATTAAGAATTTCAAACGGGTGGGCCTGAACACGTCCGACATTCCATACAGAAACGAAGAGAAGGAGAGAAAGCGGCAGGAGGAATTGACACGCTTGGCACATTTAAGAAGCGAGGAACACGCGGTCAATGAGAAGGCAGAAAGCGAGACAAACGCGGCGGGAGGCAAACCCCACAAACGGAAGCAAGAAAAAAAACAAAAAAAAAGAAAAACCATTGTGCAGAGAAAACACGAACAAAGGGACATAGAGGAAAACGAAATTGAGTCCCTATTTTTTGAAGAAAATTTATACAAAAAATTAAAAAAAAAAAAAATTTCCAAAGATGAGTACCACAGATTGCTCAACATGGAGAACCTAGACAAAATATTTTCCACCTCCCCCAGCGCGGGGAGGAACCAGGCCGTCGCCCCCCGGAAAAATCAAGCAGCTGCGTCACACAGGAAAACGAGCAAGAAGAAGAGAAAGGTGTACAACTTGAAGGTGAAGAAAAGGCGGAAGGGGGGCGGCAAACGGAGGTAACGGTGCGGTGTGATACGGGAGTTGCTAACACAGAGGTGACAAAACGGAGGTGACCAATCGGAGGGAGGAACCCCACTTTACGTTTCCCCCATTCGCGCATGCTTTTACCCAGGTTACAAAATATCTTTCTGTAATGACCTAATTAAACACGTTTGTCACGCGCGACAGTCTGATGTAGACGCGTGCCCATTGGCAATTTTTTTTTTCCTTTTTTTTTTGGTTCTCGTCCCATTTGGCACGAACGGAGTTGGCACACAGGGTGTCACATATTTCATCCACCCATTCCGTCATATAACTCGCGCGTTGGGGTGGACGGTTGGGAAAAAATCTTTCCCAACGCGAATCCTCTCGTGAACGTACAATTTTGTGTAAGCAAAAATTATACGTTTGTGTAAGGCCCACGTAAAAGAAACGCCTATTTTTTCGAATGGCTTGCCCCCAATAGCATATTCCATTATCAACGGTGCATAGTTTTTTTTTCGTTTTGGGGAATGAAAAAATTATTAACTGTGCCAATTTAAAATTTAACAAAAAAACGTTTTATTCTTACGCAAAATTAATTCAAAAGGGAAAGAAAAAAAAATGAACATACTTAATTATATAAATGGATACACGAGAAAACGCAAAATGGAGCCATTTAAAAAAAAAAAAAGAGGTGTCATTTAAAAATGCTGCTCCATGCTGTACAGACCAGTACGCACATGTATGCAAATATACACACCACTGGGTAAGACAATGGAAGATTAATAAACCAGGAGGAAAAAAAATACGAACAACGTTATTATAAACATTAACGTTTTCGAAAGGGGATACGCAAAAAAAAAAAAGAAAAAAATGCTACAATTTGGGAAAAAAAAAAAGGATGATGTAAAATACAAACGTGGCCATAATGTTGCCCCGAACGGGACTAACGAGACAATCCCATTTTGGCAACAATTTGCCATAAAGGGGGAGAAGAATTGACAACTGTGGGTGAAGGAATGGCCGATTTGGTACACCCTGGACAGGAAAAGTAGCCTCGATGAATGGGCCCCTCCCCCCCACGGTGCACACGTACAATCGCGCAGTGGTCCAGAAGAGCAACGCTGCAATAGTGCATGGCGCAGTGGCATACTGATTGCTTAGCTATTTCGCGCGCGGTGGGCTAAACCCCCCTGGTGAGCACAATGGGAGAGGCGTACAAGTCGTCGCCATAGTACCTGTTCACGAAGCTAAAGAACTTGTCCTTGTTAATGACGCTCTTCCCACCGGAATTGTCTATAACATCCAGTTTGTTCACCTTGTCCTTGAACATCTTCTGGTTAAACAAATCCAAAATGACCGCCTGCGTGGAGTTATCCACTGCGCAAAGCTTTTTTAAGGCTTCGTACTTTTTATCGTCGGTGACGAGGAAGTAAAAGTTAATTTTCTTCCCCTTTCTGTTTTTATTATATTGGCCAATCAAATCATTGTACTGGTGTAGCAAATCCAAGTTGAGTCTGTCACTAAACAGAATGAAGATTGGCGAGAATACGTTTAAGCTAGTTAAATTGCTAACGTTTTCATATTTGTACATGTAATTTTTTTCATTTGCCTTTTCATGTAAGCTTTTGTAATTATTTTGTATGAAGCTAGCTATTTCGTCTTCCTTCTTCTCCACGTGGATATACTTGCTTATAATGTTTCCCTTTTTGTTTACCAGAATGCACACAGGTTTGAATGTCACGTCGAACATGTCGTAAAGGAGCAATTTGTAAATGGCGTTATTTTCTTGTTCTCCCAGGTAGTACACATCGTCGACGTAGTGTTCCATCTGGTCCTTTGTTCCACCCGGTTTGCTGCTTCGATCAGCAGTGTTTTTTTTCTCCCCTTGCTTTTCATCCCCAGAAAGTGCGGATTGCCCTTCCTTTGTGCTTGACTTGTGTGAGTCTTTCTCATTGCCGATTCCTTCGCTGGGAATATTTCCTTTCGTTTTTTCATCCGTCAGGGGGGCTGCCTTTTCAGCTTCCTGTTGACTCACCATGCCATCACCCTTGGGGCCAGCCTTCCCCTTCATCATTTCCATATCCTTCACAAAAATGATATCCACGTTAACATTTTTCAAGGCCAGTTTTTTCTTCACCTTGAGGAGGGACTGGAGGTCCCCCTTATTGTCCTTCTCATTGTTGAAATAAAAGAGTACATAATCTGAATTTAATTTTTTAAAATCATACTTGCGATTATTTTTGTCATATAACCACTTGATGTATGTCAAATGGTTAACCTCTCTGTAGGGAAAATCCTTCCTTTGGTGGAGCAGCAAATAATTGATATTGTCATTAATGATGTTCATATTTTTATCCAACAAAACCATCGTGGGGATATTCATAATGTTGTAATTTTTTATCATCTTTAAAATTTGTTTTTTATCGTGAAACAATATACTGTACCAGTTATTCATATTGCTAAAGTGTTTAATATTAAAAAGCAGTTTGCTGTCCAGGGGGACATAGATAATGTTGACATTTTTTTTTTTGTTAATGTCTTGGTAAATTTCCTTCAGCCTCTCAGCATACGTCTTAATATTTCTTGTGTGCAAAAATCGGTCCACATTGTACGAATGGAAAAATAAAATGGTGTATTCATTTGAGCTATCCTTCGTATTCACCTTTTTTACATTCATGTAGAAATTTATTAGCGTTCGAATGTTGCTATATATCGCATGGATTAAGTAAAATAGATTGTATGATTTATCTTCCTCATAATTGCTTCCTTGTATCAAATTGTTTTCATGCTTGTACAGGCACTTCCCCATAATTTTTTCCGCTTCGGTTAAATTTTTGTTGTCACTTTTGATTTTGCTGTATATCATGTAGGTTGCCAGGAACAGAGGAATGGACAACCCCGAGACGCCCATCAAGCCTGCGAAGCTCACCTTCCGCAGGGGGCACTGTTGGCTCCCTCCCTGCGCGCCCAGGGGGTTCCGCCTCCCCTCTTCGCCTTTGCTTCTCCGCAGGTCCACATACGCAAATCTGAGGTGAGGAAGTGGTTACACGATGGTTACGTGGTGGGTTGGAGATCGTTAATCCCTTTGTGGAACCGGTGGGCCCACGAGGGGTCCAGCGTCCGCGCTGAAAGTGCACTGGGACGCCACCCCCCCCACGTGCGCACACAAATGGATTCACATAAATAGACGAAAGAGCGCACACGAGGGGGAATAATCCCATGGGATATCCCACAGGCAGACCCTCTCCGCTTTTGTAAAATCTCCAATTTTCATACTTCCTCTGTTGGTTAGATTTCCATCCTAGGGGCGCATTAACGTGGCTTATGGTGAAAAATTTTTTTTGATTAACCTACGAGGGGGCGTGTAAACGGGAATTATGAAGGCATGTGGGGTGTGCCACGGCCTGTTGATACAGGTCGATCGGCAGGATCTACGCACATTAAGGGTGAACACCGGTGTGTACGCTGATATGTCTATGCCAAATGTACCGCACCCTTGGGGCAAAGCGGATTATCCTCCCCCTCCCTTACCGCATTCGCATTTTTTACACAAAGTGCAAACACTTGGAAGGTAAAAAAAAGAAATATCTTTATCATTCTAGGGAGGCGACGAAACGGTCATCAAGAGACTTCCCTGATGCTGCTGAAGGTGGTGATAGCTTCGCTTCTGTTTGGCTTAAGCTTTGTTTCGATCTGCTTTGTTTCGATCTGCTTTGTTTCGATCTGCTTTGTTTCGATCTGCTTTGATCCGATCTGCTTTGATCCGATCTGCTTTATTTTGGTTTTTCTTCCGCTGGGAACTTTCCAGTCTCGTTTTGTTTGCCGTTCTACGTTCCTCTTTCGTTGCTTCTGAACTCGGATTCGTTGCTGATTTTCCACTTGGGCCGTTCTCTCTTCTCCGTAGGAGGCTCCGGGCGTTTTTTTTCCCCCCCTTCGCTTTTAGATAGCGGTGGTTACGCGGTCCCCTCCTATCACTGCTAAGGCGACCACGACTGCCACGATTGTCACGGCTGTTATGGGTACTACACCTGGGGAATTTCTCCACCGCGTGTTACCCCTCGTGTGCGTTTTTGCCTGCCCTTTTTTTTTCTCTTTTGCAAACAGCTTTATCTTGCGATCGAGTTCCGATTTTACGCTTCAAAAATGCTCCAGTAAGAGGGGATGGCAAACGTATATGGCGAGCGGGTATGAAAAGATGTTTTTATTTTACGCTTGGATGCCACAGCGGGAGAAACAGAAAATAAGAGAAAAAGTTCAGTTGGCAATTCCTCAAATGTTTGGGCGCCCTTTTTTTTTTTTTTTTTTGTTTTTTTTAAAAGGTACAAGTTGGGGAACTCAAGTGTAGAGACGGGGGGCTAAACGAAATAGCGCTACCGTGCAGGTAAGCATATATATATATTATATATATATACGTATGTACGTGTATGTACTTCTATGTACTTGTATGTACACGTGCCGGTACACGGTGGCACCCTTTTGTGCATTTTTCGAAGCGAACACACAAGCATGCCGCCGTTGCTTCCGACGAGCAGAATAACCTTCCTCCACCGTTCGTCCGGTACATACCACGAATAACCTTTTTTCATACACCCAAGAGGAAATACACATGGGTGACTTGCGGATCATGAATTCTGCAAACGCCTTGTAGAACAACCCCCCAAAGGTTAATTGCACACAGTACACTTTCTAAGGGGGGGGAAGTTTTTTTTTTTTTTTTTTTTTTTTTTTTTTTTTTCCTTTTTATGTATCCCAATTCTTGCACAACTCGAAAAGGGAAGTAACGTGAACTCATGACAGTGGAACGATTGAAAGTTCCAATGGACGAGTGGGGAAAAAAACAAGTGTGACTCAGGTGGCATGACTTCCCCCCATGGTTATAAGTATGCATATATATGTACGCATATGTAGGGACGTTCATACAACCACAACATTGAGTGTATGGTGAAATCACTAAACGGTGAAGTAGGCACTTCACTGTGCGAAAGATGTCGAGGTCAAGTATAAAACGAAGTTGACTGTTTATGTCAGTTTCTTACATTACAGACTTACAAAAAGGAACAAAAAAAAAAAAAAAAGGAAAAACGTAGTATCAAGAACAATCTGTTTTTTTTTTTTCCTACAAATGTATCCATACGGATACGGTACATACATGCGCATCCATCCAGTACGACCAGGCGATCAGCCTTTTCTAGGCGCTCCTTTCTTTTGCGCAGATTGTTTTTCCTCCAAAGGGGCACATAATGCCGGCGAGAACATGGATGAAAAAATCGATGAAAAGATCTATGAAAACACTGTGACCCCATTGCATACGCAGCAACGTAAGCCAAGCGTTGGAATGCTTTAAAGAGTATGTTATAGGTTTCACTTTTTCACTCCGCACCTGTGTCACGTCTTCACTTCGTCCCAATTTTAATTCGCAGCTTCTTCACTCCACCGCTGCGACGCAGTTTTATTGCATTCCACAATCTCTCCCCTCTTTCAAAAGAAACAGCTGCCTGCTACAAGTGTGGCTTAAAATTTCCCCCTGCTTCATCAGTTTTTGCCCTTCCCCCCTCACCCAATTTAAAATCCCCTTTATTTTGCCGCTTCACCACGTTGCTATCCCCCAACGCGTGTGTCACGCATAGTTGTTTGTTCAGTTTGTTTATTCTTCATTGTTCATTTTATTTTTTATTTTTTTCTGCCATTTGTTTATAGTCCAAAAAGCATTAGGGGAGGTTTCCAAAGTTATGCCGTGGGAAAAAGAGAAATGTACGAATGCCGTGATCTGCTACATAGTGGTTTCGTTTCAGCCCTCCCCCATTTGGCATACATAATTTAATTTTTTTTTTTTCGTTCAATATTTTTAATTTCTCCCGAGACGGTTGGCAATATTCAGTGGTTTAAAGCAGAAGAGGGGAAACAAAATAAACGGGCAGTGGTCCAAATAAGCAGTGAAGTGAGGCACCTTTCACATAGACATTTCTATCCCTGGCCTCCGTGTTTACAAGGATCCGCGGCGCTTTAACCGACGCGCGCCGTTCCTGATCAGTCAAGACAGACATCACATTCTTGCAGACCGCTCGCATAAGTAGCAGTGGGAAAGGGGGGATGAAGCATATCTGCACATCGCTACTACCTGTCCATATACACACTTTGCACATTTCTATTTTGAGGATCTGAAAGGGATCCACGAGTCCTTCGCTGCACACCAAAATGACGGAGGAGATAGTCCTATACTACTTCGACGCGAGGTAAGAAAGGGGGAAAAGGCGGCGATAACGAGGGGGGCAGTACGCACATAGTCATACGGTTTAAATGGGCATACTTGCGCGCACTGGCTGCCTCTTAACCTTTCTTAATCGCGCTTTGACCGCCTCTCCATCGCAGGGGCAAAGCTGAGCTGATTCGGCTGATCTTCGCCTATCTGGGCATTCAGTACACGGACAAGCGCTTCGGCGAAAACGGAGACGCCTTCATCGAGTTTAAGAATTTCAAAAAGGAAAAGGAAACCCCCTTTAACCAAGTCCCCATCCTAGAGATGGACAACATAATATTTGCTCAAAGTCAAGCCATAGTAAGGTACCTGTCAAAGAAGTACAAAATAAGTGGGAATAATGAGCTGAACGAATTCTACGCAGACATGATTTTTTGTGGAGTACAAGACATACATTATAAATTTAACAACACAAATTTGTTTAAGCAGAATGAGACTACCTTTCTTAATGAGGAGTTGCCGAAATGGTCAGGTTACTTTGAGAACCTTTTGAAAAAAAACAACTGCAATTATTTCGTTGGCGATGATTTAACGTACGCCGATTTGGCTGTTTTTAATTTATATGATGACATCGAAACAAAGTACCCAAACAGTTTAAAAAACTTCCCGCTGCTGAAGGCCCATAACGAGTTTATTAGCAACTTGCCCAACATTAAAAATTATATTAGCAACAGGAAGGAGAGTGTCTACTAAGTTTTTTTTATTCATTTAATTTACTTTTTTTTTTTTTTTATTCTTTTTTTTGGAGTAGGGTTGGGGAGAGGTGTTAAACGTTCATGGTGCCCCCCGGCGTTCGTTTGTTCATACGCGGTCCTTTCGTGTGGGTCCCCCTCATTTGTCGGGCGCGCTGCGTCTATTTTATCCTCCCGTGCTTTTAAAAAATCCCACCCCTCCATCTCCACATCTTTATAATTTCCTATTTTTCACATTTTCGCTTTTACCAAATTTATGTACGCTTTTTCGTTTCCTACTTTGAGTGGTACAATTTCCCCTCTCCAGCAGGACAGGGGCGGAGTCACACGCGTACACACATAAACCTCGCGCGCATAGTGGGTGCAGGCCAATCCAGAAGACGTCCCACGCACTCCACACGAGTTTCCTACACAAAATGTACTCCGTGCGGATGTGCCTGTTTTTTTTTTTTTCGTTCTTGCATGAGATGATACAAATACACGCTTGTATAGCAAAATTTACAAGTTTAAAAAATTTACTCTTAAAAGGTGAAAAAAAAAAAAAGAAACTTAACAAATAACGATTTGGTGGGGAGGATACTACAAATGGGTAGGTTTATTCCTCCTCGATTTTTTATTCTGGCTTGACTCAGCTGAGGTGTACTTCTCGCGTATGTAAATGGGGCAAAAAAAGAAGAAAAAGAAAAAAAAAGAGTAGCAACAGAGTAACAAAATGCGTACAATAACATTATCATGTTGATTACCCTCCGGGGGTCCCCGTCTTAGCCTGTCCAACCAAGAACAAACTAAAAGACAAAAAGAAAAGGCAGCTCTCTCCCACAGCACCACTATGCTGGCGTAAATGACGTTAACCGAATTGGGGCCTCTTCCTTAAAAATCAGGCGGTTCTGTCTCATTTCTTAATGTAGTTCATTATGACCTTTACGATGGGTTCCTTTCCTAAATCTCTGTGGTAAGAAAAGGGATGGAGGGGAAAAACAGGGAGGCGTGAAGTGAAGTGGTGCCACGAGAATAACACACAAGGTGGGCAGAATGGCGGAGGGGAGACGATTAGTAGCAAAGTGGGGTTAGGAACGACAGGCATATACCCCTAAACATCCCCAGGACTTTTCGAAATGGCGACTTACTCTAGCATGCTGGCGATCTCCTCCTCGAAGAAGCTGTCCTGGTGGGAATAACTGCACACACTCTTGTAAACAATTTTGTAAAAGCTAATTTCGTTGGTCATGCTCATTAATATTTTCAAGTGCAACTCTGATTCGGGTCCCTTGTCTGCCTTCCTCTCCTCCTCCAGGTGGTGCGTGAAGATGTTGCACAGGATGTAGAACACGCTGTGCAGCACAGAGTAGAGGAAGCATATTATAAGGTTTCTGCGGTGTGTGTGTGGGGGGGGAAATGGAAGCATCATAAGCGGTATAGTCGGCGGTATATTGGGCGGTTAAATGGGAAGAAAATACGAGCAATGGAGTAGCCATGGTATGCTGTAACCCCATGCGGAGGCTGTTCGCACAAACGGGGGCTCCACTTTTGCGCACTTTCCAAAATGGGGTAAAAAAACAAACAAACAGACAGACAAGCAGACAAACAAACCTGTCAAACTCCTTAACGTAGGGGATAATCTTGACAAGGAAAATGATTAAAAGGGCGGCTCCACTCTAAGGGAAAAAAAAATAAAAAAAACCAGTCAGCAAATGGAAAGAACTGTACATGCGCATGGAGTGCTGAAACATGGGAAAAGTGTGATGCCACACCGCCACTGAACCGGACGTTGCTCTCAGTGCTCACCTTGTAAAAGAGAAGTTTCGTTATGTAAAAGTGAACGTAATTGTAAAAGAGGAGGAGAGCCAGGATGCTCTGCAAGTAAGCAATGCCAATGCCCGGGGTAAACAAATAGGACAGAGACACATCCAAGAGGTATATATAGAGTGAGGAATAAACATTACTACTGTAGAGTTTACACCTGATGTTAATAAACTGGTGGACCCCGCTATTTCGCAAGTGAGCTTGATGTTCTTTCATGAAAAATATGTTTTGCATTTTCTCATTCTTAATAAACTTATTCAGTGTGTTTATGTTGGCGTTCATATGGAGCAGCTGTAACTTTAGGAACTCTTCATATTGGAGCATATTTTCGAAACAAGAATCCGCATGGGCAAAGAGGAAAACCAGAAGAAGGTGGTTACTAAAGAGGGAATAAATGAGCGTCATTCTCTTTTTCTTTTTTACCACTTTTAATATCTTTCTGTACACACATGCTCCTTTTTTTTTCAATATGCTATTAACGAATAAGCAGTGTATACTCTTCAATTTTTGGAGCTCCTCATTAAGCTGGTTTGTGTCCACGTCTAGTTTTGTTACCTCGTTGTGTACTCTCATGCTGTTTGCAGGCGTGGGAAAGGCGGTGTCTTCTTTTTCTTCACTCATTTTCTCATTTGCGCTTTTTTTACCCTCCTTCTCCTTGAAGAAGAAGAAGGATTTTTTCTTCTTTTCCTTTGGGGTCCCCACGGAGGCGCCGTTCGCTGTAGTGTCCGTACGATTACCCATACGACTGTTCGGGGCACTGTTGGAGGCGGCAAAAATGTCCCACTGGTTGTAGCCTCCGAAATTGTAGTAGCAGTACGCTCTGTTGAACGAGATGACTTTGCCAAACTGGGTGGAGCTTCCCAGCTGCGCGAGGTTGTTCTTGTAGGGGAACCGGTGCGCAAAGATGTTGCTAATGTTGCCATTGTTACTATCTGATGTATTGCCGCTACCCTTGGGGGGACGCTCCACATCACCTGGCTGCTCACCGCATCGGGGTGCCACCCCTCGCTTGACGTACCGCGCCACATGGACCCTGTCGAAGGACAAGTTGACAATCAAATCTGCAACCGTCGGGTAAATAAGAAATTCGAAGTTCTTATTGATGCTGCTGTAGAGTGAATCCGTTAGGTATAGGTAAAGATGCTTGTTAACAGTAACATCCACGTTGTTTATGCTCTTCTTCAAAAACAAGTTGTTATGATTACTCATGAGGCAACTGCAAACTGTTTCCTCGTCGCCGGTCTTCTTCAGGAGGATAAAATTAAAGAGCGTGTTTTTTTTCTTTTTAATCTCTTCATTATATTTGGATATAGTTTCGATGTGTGTATAGGGGCACCTGTCTATGTCTTTGTAAATGTTCTTTATGTCTATATAGAGGTCCCACAGCATCTCCAGCATTTTCTTTGTAACGACGTCTCTCATGAGAAGTTTGGCCGTCACAAGTGCTATTTCCCTCTGCGCGGAGTTCTTCTCTTCCTTTTTTCTGTCCTTCTTTTTTACGCCCTTGGAGGTGCACTTTCTACTGGGCGTAGATGGATCCTCTTTACCTTCCCCGTCTGTTTCCTGCCCCAAGGCTACCTGACTTAGTATGATATTTTTAAATTTCTCCACCATCTCATCGTAGCTATCAAATAGGGGATCATTCTTCACTAGGGTTATTAAATTTCTTGGTTCATGTACCGTGGCGAAAACGAATCTGCCCAGTCTGTTTGTGATATCATACTTAGATGCGTCGTTCTGACCTGCAGCTTTGTTGTCAACCCCGCTGGTAGTTTCTCCTTTCTTTTCGCTGTCCTGGTTGGAGACTTCCAATTCGGTTGCTCCTTTATTTCCCACGTTTGGATGATCCGACTGCTTCCCCTCTCCACCTGTGTTTTCATTCTTATGGGCATTTTCCCCCTCTCTGTTCTTTTCCTTTTCTGCCTTCGAATGGTCACCCTTCAATTCTGTTGGACTGCTGGACGTTATGTTTAATATTTTGTTCAGGTCAATGTTGAGTATATTTTCGCTGTGCAGATCGAAGTTATCCTCACGTAGTAGATTGTACAGTTTCTCTTCCTCCCCATTGGCATAAAGCATAGTAAAATTGTCATCGTTTGGCAGACCTTTGGTTCTTATCCTGTCCGCTTCACCCTGGAGGTTTATAATTTCGCTATCGCCACTGTCCACGCTGTTAGTCTCACCATCGCCATGGTCATCACTGGTGATACGCTTTCCACGCCTGTCGTCTTCTTGATCTGCTCCGTCATTTTCAATTCCATCGCCCGATTCACGGCCATCCTTCAGAGTGAGCTGTTCCGGGCCATCATTTCTTGCCTCACTTTTGAAGTTCCATTTGCCGCTATTCTTCTGTATGGACGGGTTTATAATCATATAGGAGAGTTGAATCCTGAGTAACTTGTCCTTGTCACTCTTCTTCATGAGATTTCGATACTTGAAAAAGTAATTGCTCTGTTTAATGTTTCCATTGATTTTGTTTAAAAATCTGTAATAGTTATACAGGTCGTCATTCAGATCATTGAGGTTGGCTTTTTTGTAACTCATCCTTAGAAAGCTCGTTAATTTCAGCATGTGCTGTTTTTTCAAACGAATTATGAAGCTTTCGCATGTCGATCTGTTCGTATCATTTGTGCGAGGGTACATGTCACTGCTCATCACGTTTCTCAGGGCATGATCGTGTCCCTTGCCACCTCCACCTTTATACGGGAGGGAGTAACTCATTTGGTACGCCTTACTGATGCTATTATTTTTCATTCTGCCGCGTTGGTAAAAATAGCTTTTCTGATCATATTTGTCTATGTACCCATTAGACGACGTGCTCCGGTGGAGTCTATCACGTACCATGCCTACATGGGAATTGGGGAAGTTCTTGCTGGTTACGTTGTTCCCTTTGTCGAAGTGGTTGCCGTGGCGGTTGTTGTGGTCATCCTTGGTATAGTTGGGCTCGTCTTTCATCTTGTGTCCACCGGGTTTGTTGGCCTGCGGTCGGTCGCGCGGCACTCGCTCATTGGGTGGTCTCTCCAGTGGAGACCATTCAGTTGGTGACCTCTCCCCAGGAGGTTTCTCCCATCCATTTAGTGACCTTTCCCCAGGGTGTCTTTCCCCTGGGTACCGCTCACCCTGGTAGCCTGCACCCCCCGACAAGTTCACCTCCCCGGCGAGCAGCGAATTTGTGTTCTTTTCCATTAACATAAGATCATTCGCCTTGTAATCCAAGTAGTAGTTATTCAGAATCTTCAACGCGTTTAAGTCATTGGTTACGTCCAATTTTGAGTCCCCGTCTTGACTAGACAACAAGAAATCTTCTTCTTCCTGTTGCGGCGGCTGCCCCTTTACGTTGTTTAATTTTTCATTTAAATTGGCGTAATAATTTTCTTCGCCGAGGTTATTCCTCAATGTGTAGTCCTCCGGGGGGTGGATAACCTTCTCGCTAATTAATCGCTCCCCGATTTGCAGTCCCTCCTGTGGCAGTGCCGCCATATTTTCTCCTATGTTCACCCCCCCCAAATGCATGCCCTTGGTGGGGCCCATTTGGAAGAGAAATTCACTTGATTGATCCTCCTGTTGAGGAAAAATGAACGATTCGTTTTTATAACCTTCCATGTAAGGACTCAAGTCAGTCACAAAATGGCGATTACTTTTATCATTTTTCATGTAATACTCTTCCTCCTTCATAAGATACATTTGTTGCTTTTCGTTCATGCTGAGCAGGAACTCATCATTTATTTCGTTTTCCTTGAAGGGGTATAGATTGGGCAGGTTCGGCAGATTGGGCAGATTCGACAGGTTGGTTGGTATCTTGCGCAAGGGGTCGAGGTAGTTCTCTTCCGCTGGTAACCTCAACTGCTGCATCTGACGCAGTCGATGGTGCTGCTCCTCGAGGTGCACATCATTAGTGTATGTGTCATTCATAACAGGGGGGTGCCCTCCCTTCAAATCGCGCACACGGGGCATGGTTGACATGGCGGAGATATCTGGAATGCCGGGCATCCCCGCATCGCCTTCTTCCTCACCCAAGTGGCCATATACATTTCTGAGGCTATTCAGAAACTGTAGATTTTTGTCCATTTCACGACTTCTGCTATCCAACATGAGTTCGTTCATGCCTCTGATGGAGAAGTTCCTCTCCGCATTGTTCATAAAGCTGTGCGTCAACATTCTCGCCTGCTCGGAGTTGTCTTGTCCCCATGGGAGGCCCTCCATTCCTACTGCTTCCTCTGCGCCACCTACCATTCGGAGATCCCCCACGCGGTTACTACTACTGCTTTCGTTTTTCAAATCTTTTCTCCCCAAAATGTGTAAATAATCCCCCTCCTTGAAATTTTCATTAAAAGTGCTGTTGTCATGGATCTGCTCCAAATTGTTCATGAGATAAATTTTGGTTAAATCATTTTCGTTGAATCTATACGAATCGATATTTGGTTTCCTCTCGAATTGGTTGTCTGTTTGGTCCCTGCGTATATGTTCCTCTTCTGCATAAAAATTTCTTTGCATGTGTTCTTTATCGTTGGAGGTGCCTTTAATTCCTGCTTTGCTTAAGGCCCTGTCTTGTACCGACTGTTTATTCCTCTCCGGGGCGTTGATAAAACTGAATGGGTCCGCACTCTCAACCGACTCGTCGTCGTTCATTTCGTCTCCTTTCACCTCATCATTTTCGTTTGTGTAGAAGATGTTTTTATTAATAAATTTGGTTAAGTTGCACATTTTGTTGTCAAAGTGGAAGAAGTCGTCACTTTCGTTGTTCCTTTGTTTGCTGTTGGAGGGGAAGCTGACGTTCTTCATGTGATTTCTACTATGGGCTGCCTCATTCGATGGCACTTTTTTTTCGTTAATCCGGTAGAGCTCCACATGTTCCTGCCGCTGCTCCTCCTCGTTGTAGGCAAAAAAGGGATCCCTTTCATCCTCCCGTTTTATAAAATGTGCGGAGCTGCTATCAATTATGTCCCTTTCTTGTATTCGCAGAAACTCGGGGCAGTCCACATTTTTATTGTCCAATTTGTTTAACTTAAATAACTTTTTTTCATTTTCAATTAGGTTGTTATTCATGGTGTAGGAGAAATCCCCTTCGGGATTATCGTTGAGGCCGAACGTAATGTTGTTGATTCTGTCCACGTCTTCGAAGATGCTATCATTTTTGTTTAGATTAAAGGCCGCAAGGTTTTCATGCGTTTGGGCGATGTCTACGTGGGCGCTGTTGCCGACGCCTTTATGTGGGCCCCCCCTACTGGAGCTGCCCCTATTCGTGTTATCCCTGTTCCCGTGTCCACCATTAGACTGCTCGCTTTTGTGAGGCCTCGTATCGAAATTCTTCCCTTTCTTATCTCTCTCCTTTGTGTACTCATTATCGTACGCGCCCTTTACGTACTTGGCACTGTTTCTTTTTTTGTGATAAGACGAACTGGTGTTCGGGTAGTAGCCTCTGTTGTAGCTGTGACCTCCACTATACCCACCTCCGTATCGGCTTCCATATCCGCCTCCATACCCGCCTCCATACCCATCTCCGTACCCGCCGCTGTACCCGCCATTATACCCACTGTCATGGCTGGTACGGTGGCTGGCACCGTGGGCAGCGCCCTTTTCCCCCTTCACTTTGCTCCTAGAGCTGTTAGCGTTGTAGTTTTTCATTTTTTCGGATGGACCAGTGGCTGGTACTTTTTCGTCCGGTTGGCTCTTCCACTGCTTATTCATTTGGTGGCACGCGGAGCGTTGCTCGCAGGTTAGTATGTGCAATAGTGCGCGTGCTTTTGCGTAGTATATGCATAAGGTATGCCTCCCTGTACATGCGCACACGTGTGTTTATGCCTACACATGTGCATGCGCGTATAGGTGCATACCCGCTACGGGACAAGGGGTAGCTGCTGTGCTTAATACACAAACAGTTTCAGCATCCCTGGAAAGTTTTCAAAAGGGTGAATTGCTTTTTGGAACGGATTAACTCGGCTAACAAATCAAAATAAAGAAAAATATACATATATATATATATATAAAATATATAAAGAACAAAATTTTCCTTCCAAATGCCTATTTATCGTCATTTTATTGGGTTTTTCCCCTTTTATGTTTATTTCCCGCTTTTCCGGTTTGAAAATATACCTTCATGAACTGAGCAACAAAATGGGTGCTTCGCTTTGTGCATGTATGATGTAAGGAGAGGGACGCATGCCGAGTATGCACAATCGAAGTAACCACCGAGGGCGATATGCGCGCGTGGCACTTCAAGTTAGCACCTCGCCCCAGCTTGTTGACAAACAAAGGGGGCTCTAAACACACATGTACATATCTGTACGCAAAGGGACTGAACCAAAAAAATGACAATTCAAAACGAAAGTGTCGAGAGGGATGGATGTCCGTTCTCCCCCCTCTCGGCCTTAATCAAACAGGTTACGCTTTTTTAAAAAAGCAAAACTAGATGATGAAACGCTAAAAATGGCTAAAAGGGTAAAAATGCCCAAAAAGGTGAAAATTGTGAAAATGGCCAAAACGCTGAAAAATCCGCAAATGGTGAACTTAACGCGTTCAAGATGATGAAAATATCATAAGTGGGAATTTTTACTTTTCTTTCTTTTTTTTCGTTCGATTTTTTCGCTGTACTGTTTGGGAACCTTTTGCATAATTTTCCCGTACCTTTTTTTTTGCTTACTTTTTTCCCTTGCCTTTTTTTTGCGTGCGTTGTTCCTGTACCTTTTTTTGCGTGCGTTGTTCCCGTACCTTTTTTTGCGTGCGTTTTTCATATACCTTTTTTTCGTGCTTTTTTCACGTACCTTTTTGCTTGCCTTTTTTTCTGTACCTTTTTTTACTTACCCTTTTTCAGTGCCTTCTTCGCATATACATGGAAAAAAAAAAGGGAGTGGGGTGCGGAAATTCCGTTGTTTACTAAATTCCGGTTAAGGAAAACGTAGGGCGAGGGAAAAAAATACCTGCCGACGAAGCCTCCCTCGCGCTAGGGGCGTAATCCGTGCTTTTTCTTTGGAATATGAAAAAGGCTTGCGTGAAAAAATATGCCAAAAGGGGGTGGGATGGGGAAGGTTGCGCTGCGTGGACTGCCAAGTGGGCAAACGGGATAAGAATGGTCAACAACGTACGGTATAAAAAGCGGAAGCGGAGTCTTTCCCCCTCTTTTTTTTTTTTAAAGCTTCAATGAGCAAAAGAAATAAGCAAAGAGAGAGGAAAAAATAACCCCGTTGGGTATGCAAAGTTCTACGCATAAAAATGACTACCCGGAGGTGAAAATAAAATTGCCCTTCCTTATATAGAGAGGATGAAGCATATAGCCAGGGCAGTGTTTATATATATTCTGCACCCAAAAGGAGAAAAGAAAGCTTTATATTTGGTTTCAACCCCATTAATCCATTGACAGCTGCGCTAACTCTGTTTTCACATTTAGGGTTGGACGACATTCATTATTCCTTTGGTCGCCCCACCCCCAGTTGGTGCTTTTTTTATCCCTACTTTTTCTTTTTGCAACACTACCATGTGAAGTATATACCTATATCTCCTAGTTAGGAGAAAAAGGCCAGCAAAGAAACTATTCAGGTAACTTCTTCACATTTTTGAAAGAAACAAAAAAAAAAAAAATAAAAATACCATCCGTGTAGAATAAAACAAGTAGTCCAGCTGCAAGATTGTCATTAGTTTTCTCCCTTCCGTAGAAGCGTACAAGCGGTAGCGGTGGTGTCATGATGCGGCGCCCCAGTGGTGGTAGCAAGATATATGTGCACAACATAAAATACACCTCCATCACCACTACCACCGCGCCCACAGCTTATGCGTGTCCCAACTTTGTACAACTTGCACGTGCTTTGCCCATACACAACACCGCCCCGCGCCAATTCTAAGCGTATATGTTATGTGCGCTGGGGCGAAGTACAAAGTTTCAAGCGTGAAGGGGGCGGTACTTTAACCGTCCTCTCTGTGAATGTTTTCGTCACTCACAAAGCACTTATCGTTCATTAAAAGGGGGATGGCGCCCCCTCTTTCCCACGTATCAATTCACCCGACAAAGCAAACTGTCATAACGCAGTGGAAGGTAAAACGCATACGGTGTTGCTGCAATGTATAGCACGAAAAAGGATAGATGTGGTTGGACCATTGTTGCACATTTTTTTATGCTCCCCAAGGGGGAGGGCATACATATGTATATTTTTTTTTTTTTCCGTACTGCTAAACCGTCGCAGCACTTGACAGTCTCTGTCACTCATTGTCACCCATTTGAATGCTATTTTTCTTTTCCACACTCTACGTTAAACGTGGCAACATCGTTGTTGGACCTCCCACCCGCACGTTGTGCGAGAAAAAGGGAAGTCCTATTTTTAAGGAGTTATAAAAATGCGTTAAAATTGCATTTAGAAAGTGAACAAACAGTCAGCTGAGTTTTGAAATATACGCAAAAAAGAAAAAAAAAAAATCCTTCCTTTCTGCTCCCACGCGCTTGTACCGTTTTCCAATGCGACGTAAACAAAAAAGGAACGACGCATGAAACGTAGCGAATGAAACCAGCGAAAGGAACAGGGCGACACCTGTACAGTGTGCTTGTCGGGCTAGCTGCACGAATCGCGTCGACCGCATGCTCCAAGGCATAGTTTCCAATCTGGGGAAGGTATCTGCTGAAGCGTGGTGAACGAGGGGTTCCTTTAAGGAAGGCGTCTCTTCTGCGCCGCTAGGGGCAAATGATTAAGTATTAAAAGAATCTGGCGATTTGTAAGAGGGCCTATTCGGCACGGAGGCAGGGTTGTCTAGTTTTTGCCGCAGCGGGAAGTGTGACCCCACTTCCAAAGGGTATTAAAGCAGAGTTACGCGAAATTTCGCCTCACAATGTGGACGCGGTAAATATGCACGCTGCAAAAGCCTACACTGCAAACGCGCAGACGGAAGAAAGCTTCCCCCCCTGCCCCCCAGAAGTCACAGCCCGGTGAGGGAATTTTCCACCTGGTGGTAAAAACGCTGAAACATGTTGGCCACCTCCTTCTGGAAGAGCAAGGAATTTTGGGCCAGGACGTACAGGTCGGTCAGGGCATTGTTATTTATCGACTGAAGAAGGAAGTGAATCTCCTTTTGTATGATTAAAAGTTTGTTGAAGTATGCAATGGCTTTGGTTTTAATTTTGTTAATTTCTTCAAACATAGATTTTATGGAGTACTCTCTCTGCACGTTTAACATTAAAAAGTTTTGCTTCACTTGGTCGGTGAATTCTTTTAAGTGTTGGAAGTTAAAACGTTTGTGCAACAAATTGTCGTTTTTTATTTTTTCTTTTTTTTCGTCCTGCAGTAACTTTAATTGAAAAAGGACATCCCTTTTTATATCCTTCATGTATTTTTTTTTTTTGTTGCAATTTCCCTTTTTTTGTAATAATTTGTGTGCAAAGTATTTGTTCGCGTTTAGCAATTGTTTGTTGTTTTTTTTTTTGTTCAATTCGCTTACATGTGTGTCAAGTACCTTTATTTCATTTTTTATATTCTCTATGTTGCGTAACTCCTGCTCTTCGAATTTGGCAATATCTTCTTCGAGTTTTTTTATCCTTTCTTCAACGTGGTCCAGGTCCATGTTTGTTTGGAATTTTATCAGACAGGGAAAGGGGGTTGGAAAAGCTGTCTTTATCGTATGTGACTTATTTGCGCATCCGTTTCGGTCAATTTTTTTGCACTTATGAGTGAGCTCCGATTATCTTTGCAAGGGGGAAGGAACGCGGCATAGGAGCCGCCTCAGAGTGGCTGGCTGACCGTACTGTTATTATGCTATATGGATTCCCTTTCCACGCGCAATGCGGATTTAACTTCAGCTGATTAGCTCCAATGTGGAGGTTTAAAATGGCAATGGCCGTTACGTGACTGTGCGAGCTTCAGATGCACACCCAAATGGGGCGCTAAAAAGGAGTTGGCGATTTTTATCTTCTTAAGAATTGTTGGCTCAGTGGGGGAAAAAAAAAAAAATCAAAAAAGCGAACACAGCGCGCGCAAAGGTCAACGCCACAAAAAAGTACACACATTAACAGACGCATGAACATTAACAGAAACATACACGTACCAAACAGTTGCGCTAACGCGACAAGGCATCGCGCACCGTAGGACAAAAAAACGAAAAAAAGAATGTGGCATTTTTCGTGCCTAACACAGTTGGACGACTGAGCTGAGGAAATAGCTGAAGAAAGTTGGAACACCTCGATAATTTTTTTTTTTTTTTTTTTTCTTTGTTAATACCTTTCACTGATTTGAGGAAGTAAATCGGGCTGGGTCAGCCACTGAAACGCAACAAAAAAAGGATTGAAGAAGAAACCAAAAAGGAGCCAAAAACTAAGTCGAGAAGTGCATCCTCCTTTTTGTAACTGCTAACACACGTGGAGGTGCAAATCTTAAAGTGGTGCATTATAACCGGGTGGGGTGGGGGAGGATAACACAGGTGTCCCATTGCTTCTCGGCTTAATCGTTTAGTCAGATGACCCCCCGAACTAGCGGTAACTCCAGACACTCCTGCCATCATTTCCTGTTCTGAACATTCATCATATAATCCTTCATATAAGTGTGAACTAACTCGTCTGTGATTACCGGCTTGTTGGACTTGACCAGGTGGGAGTTTTTTCCATTTTTCCTCTCATCCCTGTCTTTGTTAGGACTAGCAATCTCCACGTGAACTCGTCCCACTTCCCGTTTTTCCTCGATCTCGTCATGGTACTCATGTAGAGCTTCGTTAAGAGTCACGTTTAGCGGTTCGTACAGGTGGGGAAAATTATTCACATTGGCCTCATCAAATTTTTCTATAATTTTAAATTTGTCACTTTGTATCAGTTGCAGCTCCTTATTGAAGAAGTAGGTGTCTACCATGTTCCTGTGAGAAAGTTTCAGTGTTCCCACAAAGGGGGAATAACGAATCAATTAGACAAGGCACCTTCAAGTGTGACACAGTGATTAGTGTGTTCACCGCACAGGTGCTGTCACTACGTTCTAATGTAGGTTTTTTTTTTCTTTTTTGTCTTCTTTTTTTTTTTTTTTTTTTTTTTGTGCGTTTCTCCCTGTGGGGTCATTACGTCCTTTTCTGCTTGGATTGATCGCCATTGAGCGTCGAGTTCTTCTTAAGGAGGTTGTTTATCAAGTCGTCAAATCTGCAGGTTTTGGAGGGAGAGAAGTTTCCAAGGAGTGTTTAAACGGAGCGCTGTAGATGGAGGGCACTGGCTGCGTACAGTGGCAAATGTCACTGCGGGGAGGGACTTACTGGTGAACATTCACGTCCTCGCGATAGACCTTCTTGATGTACTCCCTCAGAGTATCCTAATTCGAGAGAACAACGAGGTGCATCGAAAAGGAAAAAAAAAAAAAGTGGCGGAATAAACAAATCAAAACAGGGATTTTATCGCCATGCAAAAATAAGGGCCCATTTTATATTTATTCGCCACACGCGGGTGGCCAAAAAAACAGAGAGGGAGGCGAAATGACTTACGATTATTCCCAACAAATCTGCGTTTTCCTTTTTCAGGTCATCTATATGATCAGTCAACTTTTTGATTTTGTTCTGCGTGGGGGACATACGTGTGGTGTAGAAAAGCGGGGCATACGTGTGGTGTCAACGCGGGGTGTAAAAGCCGAGATAGAACTAACGCCGCTATCACAATGACGATGCTGGTCGACGTGCTGTTTCCCTCTGCTTTCCTTTCTCCCCACCTTCAATTGATCATTGTCGCTCTGCGACTCCAGACACTTCTGGTACAGCTCCTCCAGTTTTTTCTGCGCACAGAGGGGAGAGGTAAAAAAAAAAAAAAAAAAGGGAAGATGGACAGAGGTGCATCCACGGCGATGTATAGAAGTGGGACGAATACAGGTAAATGTAAGAGGGAAGATGTTTCACCCCTCTTGCCTTGAAGACTAACCTCGAATGTAATTAGTTGCTCCCCGTTGTGGTTAAAGGTGTTATTGTTTGGGGAGTCCTCCCCCTTCTGGTGGCAATCCTTTCCCATTGTAGTGTCCCTCGCGTCGGAGCTGCCATTGTTGTTTTGGTCTGTTCCCTTCAGCATCTCATCCATCAACTTCTTCCGCAGCAATTTCTTTATGATCATATCTTTGTACTCTATTTCTAGTTTGAGCGGATTGGCTTCGTTTCCATCTGCAAGAAAAATTGGAAGAGACAAAAAGTGGGGAACTCAACTGATATGGAAGAGGAAAATGCAACACGCGATGGTACCTTTGGTCGAGCTCCTCTTCTGCAATAGCCCCTGAAATGAGACGAAAGGAATGAGTACATGAGGGAAAGGGTAAAGTAAAATGAAGAGAATAGCAGTACGGAGAAACAGCACACTTAGTGGATTCATCACATAGAAAAATCTCACATACACACATGGCTTGGGACAACCTCCTTCCCGCGCTTGCCCCTCTTAAATGAAGGACACCCATACGATAAACAAAAGGTCAAGTTTTTAAAAACAAATGGTGTTCAAATTGGGAAGAGGAGTAAAAGATTGACGTGTAAAGAATTTTCTAACCGTTCCGAGGTTTAAAATTTGAAGGGCGCTTTTCTCGTCAAACTCCTGTAGGGGGTGTGTATGTGTGTGTGGAAAGAAGATGATATGTTTGGGGTGCCACCTGTCGGGGATGCAGATTTAACAAATGGAATGAAGCCATGAAGATGTCGATGAAAAAAAAAGAGAACCTCGTGCAAGAGCTGACATATTACAACTGTTACTTTCCATCCCAAGTGGACAAACTCACCTTTGTGTTATGCATCTTTACAGATTCCAAATTTTTCTGACTCTCCTGGAGCTGTTCTTGTAGCATTTTGCAGGAGCATTTAAGGCTACTATTTTCCATAAGGAGGTTGGAATATTTGTCCGTTAGCGCTTCATTGTCCTTTTTAAAATCTTCATTTTGTTTTTTTAGTGTAATTATGAATTCATTCGTTTTATCGTTTCTGTATTTTTTTTTATTTTTTAAATGTTTCAGCTCCTCTTCCTGTAGCTTCGATTCCTTCACCAACACGTCGTATTTGTTTGATAAGATGAGGAGCTGTTCGCTCATGTTTATGATGGCTTCATCCTTTTCCTCGGATTCTTTTTTCGAATACTCTATTTCGTTTATTTTTTCTTCCAGGGATTTTATGTTTTCCTCTCTACTCAGTGGTCAGAAAAAAGGAAGAAGTCAGTATTAGATGAGGGGGTATGTGCCCAGATTAATCTGTGGCAGGGGGGCCTTGTACACGGTGGGGGTGTGTAGGGGGGCTCTGGGCACCACATAGGGAGGGGGGTGCATATACATGTGCGGATCCTCACAGATTCGAGCCAATCGACAGGGGGTGCCTCTTTCGTGGCGGAAACGTTGTCATGCCTTTTTTGCGCCTTTTTGGCACATTTTTTTCGATTTTTCTTTTTGCTTTTTTTTTGTTGCTTCCTACTTCTCCTGCACCTCAGCCTCGTGTCGATTTATTTCGTACTCGAGCTGCAGCTCCAAATCCTTGACCTTTTTCTTTAGCTCCTCGACGCTGACCTCTTCGCTGCTGCGATTTTCAAGGGGGCGAGCGTGAAGGGGTACATCGAGGGGGGGTCGAATGAAAAAGGAAAAAACAAAAAAAAGGTGCACATTAAACGGTCAACACATTGAACTGCTGTGTGTGTTTACATGACAGGATACGAAACCGTCGACATGTCGCGCTGCGTAACCACTCAGATGTCACTCCGCGCAAGGATCAGCATGCCATCCAGGCGTACACACCCTTAAGTACGTACCCTTGCTTTGACGAGGAAAGGGCTTCACTGCTCCTCCTTGACAAATCCTCCGGATGTGACTCTACCAAGGGAGAGGGTGGGGGACAGTAGCAGTGGGGCACAGCAGCAGTTGGTGTAATGCGGATTTTGTCTCACACAGGTCAACAAGGTGTTCCGTGGAGGTATCATCAAGCAATCGCTGGTATGCACTGGGGTGGCTGTTGTTGCGGTTGGGTTGGCATTCACACTGCGTGTGCCGTCCAGGAGGGTTATACCTACGGACTGCTCCATTGGCGAGGAACTCGAAGAACGCGACGACGTCTCGTTGAACTGCGTGATCGCTCACGTCGACAGAATGTCACAAAGACGAAGAAGAAACAGGTGGGGTGAAATCAGACCACACATGTAGATGAGAAAAAAAAAAATGACAAAAATTTGACATTTTGTTAACCAATCCCAACCCTGGAAAAAATCAATTCGCGCGTGTCACCTAATGGGTTATTTTCTGTTTCACCATTTTGGAAACTTCGCCCTTTGGCAGTTTCGCAGTTTTACAATTTTACTGTTTAGAGTTTTACAGTTTCGCCCTTTGGCAGTTTCGCTGCTGCACAATTTTTCCGCTTTACCGCCTTAGCTAGCCCTTTTTACAACGCTTCCTTTTCCAACTGTTCACATTTATTTCACACAGCGGAAAAAAAAAAAAACAAAATTGATAATTTCCAAACGGATGGAAAAGGGATGTAGATTTCCCAACTTGATGCTAAAAAACTGGTTAGTTTAAAAAAAAAAAAAAAAAACACAGAGGAGAAAGTCTAACAGTGGGATGTTTGCCGTAGAGGGCGAGGAAAAACGCATGCGAGGGCGAGGCGTGAGGGAAGGAAGACCCACCTCCGCATACGCGCATACGTGCGTAGTACATACGTGCTGTCATCCACCAGCTTTATGTGTGTGCGTGCGCAGGGGAACAGCTGCCCCCGCCATCTTGATTTCACAATCCCATGGTGATTTTTTCCTGCACCAAGTATAACGTGAACGAGGCGAACTCATGGGGCTGCCTTTCCACTGCAGAAGGGAAGCGGCAAAGAAAAACGGCCAACGAAGAGCCACGCAGCGTCGGTTTGACACTTCTGGTGTCACTCCTTCGCGAGTCACTTTCTCGGCCGAAATTTCGCATACCGCTCATTATATGCTACACTAACCTGACTGACTATAACCTGTGTTGTTCTTTTTTTTTTTAACTTTATCCCGTTACGCCCCCGTTTCCACTTCCCCCTTGTCATTTCGGTTTTCCTTTTCATCTTTTTTTTCATTTCGCTTTTTTTTGTTTCACTTTTTCTTCTCACTTGATCTTTTTCCCAATTCATTTTTTTTCTCACTTCATTTTTTTCTTCCGTGTTCTTTCTCCCCACTCACCACTTCACGAAGGGAAAATAAATGTACATAGTAAAAATACATATGTATGTATTTCTGCGCGTATGCATTGCATACATTTCCCTGCGTATGAGCAAAAGCATAAGCAAAAACCACGCCTTCAACGTAGGCCATTTTTACAAAAATAAAGAGTAACCCTTCAACTGCGAAGCGGAAGAAACAAAAAAGAAAAAAAAAATGCATAAGGATATGTACATAGAAATATGAAATTACATAAAATGAAACACATAAATATGTGGCATTATATGTAAAGTACACTTTAAGAGATTCTTTTTTTATTTTTTCCCCTTCTTTTCATAGATCTTTCATTGACATGGTTAAATGCAGTGTCACAGCGCTCAACACCCTAAATTGACCAACCACCGAGCGTATTTATTTATGTATGTATCTGTGTTTACATATACCCTCCATCCTATTGGAGGTACATATTTGCCTAGTCGCATCCTTTTGTGTTTGCGTCAAATTAATAACCTAATAGCAGAACAGAGGTAGTAGCCCTGGCCGAGGCTTCATAGAAGGGAAACGCCTCCCACCCCCCTGAAAAAAAAGAAGAAAAAATTCACAACCCTGCTGCCCCTCTTCTAAACAATCATTTTTGCATTACCCTATTGATGTTCGTGGACGTCTGACGCGTTGTTACATAGTTCGCCCCTCCCTGTCCTAGCGTGCGGATGTACCGTTGTAGATGCTTATGCACATGGGGGTTCGCATCAGCATATGACATGCTAACCAGAATTAAATTTTCAGCCTATTAATTCAACTTTCTTTTCTTTCTTTTGTTTTTAGTGCAAAAAATTAAGAGTTTGTTTCGCCACCCATTCGTGATAAGTTATATTATTGTTCTGTTTTGCTGATTTGCTGTTTCGCTGTTTTGCTCAATTGCTGTTTTGCTCAATTGCTGTTTTGCTCAATTGCTGTTTTGCTCAATTGCTGTTTCGCTCATTTGCAGTTTTGCTGTTTCGCTGATTTGCAGTTTTGCCTCTTTACTGTTTTTCTGCGTTTCTTTGCGTTGCATGGCTGTTTTTGCCAAATTGCAGTTTTGACAAGCCTGGGTGTGGCCGCTCGGTTCTTTCCCCGTGCCTCGAGGAAGAGCAGAAGAAAGCACCTGACGTTGCTTCACTTGGCGTGCAGGCCGCATAATTTGCCGGAGGCATAGACAAACGGCAACCCTATCTCTCTCCCTTTTTGCGCAGTAGACGCAGTAGGTAATCGTCTACACGATCTCCTCAGCACCAGGTGGCGGCAGAATGAAGTACGTACCCCCCCACATGAGGGCCCAAACGGAGGCCAAGGAAAAAAAAGAAGCAGAAGCGGAGAAGCTGGAACAGTTAAAGGAAAAGATCGAAAACTTGAAGGAGGAAAAAGACATTGACAGTGACAGCTCAACGGAAGGAGACGACTTCGAAATTGTGCTCAACAGTGTCGTCATCAGTCAGATAGCAAAGAACAAAGACCTGAGAGGAGAGTTGCTAGGATATTACATAAAAAATAATGACTCAATAAAAAAAAAAAAAAAAAAAAGGGAAAAAGTGGAAATAACGAGGAAGAAGAAGATGGAGCGGGAGGAACAGGTAATAAAAGCAAAAATGACGCCGACGACGAAGAAGACGAGGAAGATGATGAAGATGATGACGATGACGAAGATGATGACGATGATGAAGAAGATGACGACAATGACGATAATGATGAGAAGAAAAGGGGAAAAAAAAAAAAAGATACAACAAAGGATAAGAAAAAGAATAAAAAAAATGACCCAAAAAAATTAAACGTTGTAGAAATTAACCAATCCTTTTGTGTGTGCAACATTGAAGATATCTGCATTGATAAAATCTCAAAGATGACCAATAAGTATCAGATTACAAAGCAAAGACAGACCGAGTTGCTAAATAATTTAGTGTTATATTTTAATAAAAATAAATATGAAGAAGAGGGAGAAAAATATATAAGTGAAGTGAACACGTATTATGAGGATTATGTGAACATTATGGCCGAGCTGAACTTCGATACAACGTCCTTCGGATTTTACATCAACATTTGTGACATTAAGAAGAAGGAAGTGTTGGCCACACTGCTGCTGTCCTCCCTAATTAACAAAAACTCCTTTGTCCTTTGCTTTGGTGAAAAATATGGGAAATTAATCTTTTCTGCGTACAAAATAGACGTGGATGTGGTATTCGAAATTAAGAACCAAATAAAAAATGCGACATTTAATCAGTTTAATGATATCCTGAATGTTGAATTGAAGAAGAAGGGACTGAACAGTAAAACGATCCTGCAGAAAATCCCCCTTCGTATAAAGAACTCCATTATAAATTCCCTCTTTTTGAAGGTACTTAAAAATAAAAACAAGAATTTTGTCTCCTCTATGGATTATCTGAATGCACAGGAGGTGGACTCTCTGGAGAGTTACATCCACGATACGTGCAAATCGCTGGAATTGCTAAAAACGGAACAGGACAAAATGATAAAATATAAGAAGGATGTCTTCAAACAACTGCAGACGCAAAAAATTTATCAGGAAAAGAGAAAACTCGAGAAGGAGAAGAATAAAATTGAACACGAAAATCAGGAGACAAATGAGGAAGATATTAATATGAAGAATATTTTTAAGAGCATCCCGCAGCCCTCCTTGCTCTTCCCCTACGTCCTGACAATGAGCAATAACTTGCTGAATGATAACATCAACAATTTGTGTAGCCATGCAATTGCCAAGTCTTACTTGTACTACAAGAATGCGAAGCCATGATAGGGGCAGTGGAGAGGGGCAGTGGAGAGGGGGAGCGGAAAGAGTGGAACGACACGGAAGTTCCGGTTTTGACTTTAAGGCCCCTTGCGACGCCCCTGCTTGCGCCTGTGCGCATTCGGCATGGGCGCCCCTTTTGAAAAGGGCCTAACGAGTTTGCCCATGCACATCATCGGTGTGCTCGTGCCAGCGGATAAAGCGATTTGCTTGTGCCAGCGAATAATGCGACGTGCTTCTTCCAGCGAAATGATTGCTACGCGGCACGCACCACGAACGTATTTATGGGTGCCCTTTTTTTTTTTCTGCACACCTTTCTGTGTGGCCATTTTTACAGCCTTTTTAAATGCCCTTTTAAATGCGTTTTTAACCCTTTTACGTCGAAGCAAGAGGAAAAAAGAAAAAAAAATAATAATAAAATAAAAAAGGAATTTTATTTTTCAAATGTTCCATGTGGAGAAGTGGGTGACGGGGCGAATCGGGGAAACACTGGCCACTTATTGCGCAGTGGGGGCCTGCCCGCCGGTTCGCCTCATCTACCGCAGGTTGATCGATTTAACGAGTTAAATGAGGGAAGGTTCCCAATGCGAACAGTCGGTTAACGTTTGGAGGTACAGACGAATTAGTAGGCTAAGCGAGTGGTCCGCCTCTCACCACAGCGAGCTCAACTCATCCAGGGATGCATGGTGACGAACTCCTCCGCAGCCGTGGGGTGTATGGGTATGGTTTCGTCAAAGTCCTTCTTCGTGGCATTCATCTTCAAGGCGACGGCAAAGCCTTGTATAATTTCGTCGGCACTGAGTCCGATAATGTGAAGCCCCTTAATTAATTCGTCCTTACCAACGCAAACTAACTTGAGGTAAGTCTTCTCCTTCTGCGAAGGGTCCATATCATAGACAGAGAAAAACAGATTGGTAAACCTGGACTCGTAAATTTTCACATTCTCCTTGCCATATATGTCAATTGCTTCCTTCTCTGAAAGTCCGATGGTTCCAATTGGAGGATGAGAAAATATAACAGAAGGTATCAATTTATAATTCGTTTTTCTGGACCTGTTCAGGAAGAGTCGATCGGCTAGTAACCTTCCAGCGTTAATAGCCACTGGGGTCAGCTGCACATTAAAATATAAATCTCCTGACGTGTTTTCTTTTTTCTTTAAGTATGACTCTTCATTGTAAAGCTTGAGCAATTTTAAGTCTTCAATTTCTTGATTCTTTTTCACCATGCAACAATCTCCTACGGCATAAATATGTCTCACATTTGTCCTCTGATTATCGTCCACAACAATGTAGTCCTTATCTGTCGTTATGTTTAGCACCTCCAAATTTAGATCCTTTGTATTTGGAGATCGACCAACAGAGTAAATGATATAATCAAAGTGCTCATACTTTCTTCCGTCTGACAAGTAAATGGTTAAATTTTTCTCCTTGACCTTTTCTATTTCTTCCACATCTGCATGGGTAATAATATTGATATTATTTTTTTTCATGTCATTTTCTAATTCGTTGATAACTGTTTCGTCAAATTTTCGAAGCAATCTGCTTCCTCTTGCAAATATGTAGGATTCGATTCCTAATCTCCTGACGACGTTAATGAGCTCCACTGCTATGTAGCCGCTGCCTACGATTCCTATCCTTCTGGCTTCCTTTATTTTAAAAAAATCGTCACTCGAAATGGTATGTTCAATTCCTTTCACATCTGGGAATATTGGTTTATTGCCCACTGCTATGAGGATGTTCTTTCCCTCAATCACTTTGTCGTCGTCTCCTTCGTCCAAGTTTTCTTCCACATCACCTTCATTCTTCACTTTTTTTATTAAAACTTTATTTTCGCTGAGCAGGCTGCCCTTGCCTTCAAAATACTCCACGTTGTCCTGCTTCAAATTTTGCCTATAAATATCGTTCAGCCTTCGTATGTATTTGTCTCTCCTCTCGACTAGCAGCGGAAGGTTGAAGCTAAACTGCGTGTCGAATCCGTAGTGCCTAGAGTTCTCTAGAATGTCGTGGATGGACGCCGCGTTGAACATTATCTGTTGGGAGGGAAAAGGGGGAACATCAACGGGGGAACATCAACGGGGGAACATCAACCGGGGGGACTACTGCCTAGTAGCACATTTGCTTTCCAGTGCAGATAAATTCGCCCCCCCCCCCTTTTTGTGGCCTGTCAAACACCGGAGGACTGGGCTCGACCGCTTTTCCTTCTCTCTACCTTCTTTGGCACGCATCCGACATTCACGCAGGTGCCTCCCAAGTGGGCCTTTTCCACGAGCGCAACTTTGGCCTTGTTCCTGCGGTGTGTGTGTGCGGGGAGGTGCAAATGTGGCTGCGGGCGAAAATGCAGATTTTAACGCAGTTGCTGATGCGGATGCAAATGCTGATGCAGTTGCTGATACAGATTCTAATGTAGATGTAGGCGCAGATGCAGATTTTAAGGCAGATTCTGATGCAGAGGCTGATGCAAGTGCAACCTCTGGCGTATTCACGCGGGTGATGCCTCTCCGCGAACCCACCTGGCTGCTCGTCTGGCCGCGGCCATGCCGCCACTGCCGCCTCCAATGACTATGAGGTCGTACACCATACTGGGCTTCTTCTTCAGGTGCGTGGGGACGCTCGAGTGTTCCAAATTGTGGTAGAAACTGAAGCCCCTTGTTAATTTTATCGACGGGTCCAGGATGGCGAAAAACAAAAGAAGGTGAAAGTAGATGAGTTGGCGCATGTTTTGTCACGGGGGAGGCAAGTTAAGCAGTTATGCAGTTAAGCAGTTATGAAGTTAAGCAGTTATGAAGTTAAGAGATTAAGCAATTGCTACGTCGATACGTTGCTACGTTTCCACGTTGCAGGTACGAAGTCACAGGTGGGTGGGGGAAGTTGCCATGTAGGGGTGGAAAACTTTCCTCAGGGATGTGCGCACACGCAGTCACACGGGATGAAAGGGTGTAAAGCGTGACAATACAGTGCTTCACAGAAGGGTGAGATGCCACACGTAATGGTACATACACTACTATACATATGGGTGAGGTGTGACAAACATGAGAAAGAAGCTGCCTTGCGAAGTTACGCAGGGGGGCAGAAAAAAAGTCAGGGCGCGAAATCGGAAAGGGGGCAAAAATATCATACAAAATTCTCGCGCAAAATGGGGACAATACCTATTTAAAATTATCAGGGATCGCAGCAGAGTTGTTTTCATAAGAACACGTTTTCGCTAGCTACCACGGGAATTTTCCCAGGGAAATGCATTTGCGTGTACATGCATATATTACGCCTGCTTGTTCGTCTCCAGGACTTGTAGGGCTGTTCTTCCTTTCACTTGAGGTAACTTTTTTTTTTTTTTTTTTTTTTTTCTTCTTCTCTCATTAAAAATGTATAATGGTATACATATAATTCGCTAAAGAAACCACTTTGGGAGTTTTCCTTTTTTTTCCAAACAACGAGTTGTATTCATCGATAAGTAATTTTTTCCAACTGGCTTTTTACGCCTTGATCATGATGCAAAAGAGTGGTTGAAGCTTATTGAAAGACTTTTTTGCAGAAGGACAGGAAGAATGATGCCCATTTTTATTTTTTGACGCGCCCCGCCCTACATGTGGACCCATTTAGTTGCAGTCGTTTTTGATGTAGTAGTTTTTTTTTTCTTCTTTGCCCTTTCGGAAGGAAGACTGCTCTTTTTTGCATTTACTTCCGCTTTTTTTTTATTTCTTATGACTGGCCGTACATTTGCAGTCAGCTAATGGGGAACAAGCGCCGCAAACAGTAGCAAGGAATTTTTTCTTCCACCTAAGGGGCAAATTTGCTATCGCCTGGTTACATTACAAACCGCGTGTCATTTTACTCTTACTCCAAGGGAGCGCTTCCTTGTCGCGTTGTAAATGTATCGCTGGCGATGATCTCCCCGGGGACAACATTTTCCTACTCAATGGTCTGCTCTGTGCCGTCGACGAAGGTAATCCGCTCGCAGTCGGACTGCTTGTTGAGGCTAAATATGCGCATGTCCCACACGGTGTTGCTGTGGAGCAAACCCTGTTTGTGCAAATTCTCAAAGAATGCGGCATGGTTTATCCGGCGCTTGTACTCATAAATGGTGCCTGCGAGGAAGTCTTCACTGGGCAAAGCATAGATCCTGTTGCATATGATGGAGGCCAAGTTGAGAGGCAACTCAGTCCCATCTCTACTTTTTTTCAGAGGCAAATTATCATTACAGGGATTCTTCATATTCTTAAAAGCGTCAAAGTCTATTTTGGCAATCTTTATCCACTGGATGCGAAAATTCCCTCCCAACCTATTCGTTATGGGTCCCCATAAATCCTCATACAACTTCTTAATCGGCATACTTACCATTTTTGCATAACCTTGAAAACCTCCACTTTCATTAACGGAGAAAAGGAATACGATGGTGTAATTTTCCTTAAACAGGGTGATAAATTTCCTCGTGTTGTTTTTTCCCGTGGCCCATACTCCATAGAGAATAGATAAGTACAGGTGCGAAATTTGATTACACTTTATTATAAAGATTTTTATTCTCTCACTTGGAATTATGTCATTGTTTATGTCGTATATGCCTGGGATGCTCATCATGTTCTCTTGGTTCCTGCTGTGTGTGAATCCCTTTTCGTTGTCGAGACTGCTCATTGGGATGTTGTCACCAGGGTGGAGAAAATCTTCCAAGTTGTTAGTACCTCCGCTCCCTGTCACTTTCATCTGGTAGTACCTGCTTATGCTCTGTGGATTGGAAGTATCTGGATAATTTCTATCCCCGTCGGGTCTCTCATTCTGGTGGTCTTCTCGGAGAGATAAACCTCCCCCGAGGTGACGCTGCATATCACTGTTGACTCCACGTTGGTAGTGGTCTAAATTCTTCACAGATGTGTCATCTGTTGAGAAAATTTTCTTCTCACTTTTCAGACTGTTTGAAGTGACAGAGGGGATTCCCTTCTCCTGGTACTTCTCCCCACTAAGAACAATCAAGGCGTCTTTCAATTTGCTCATATCTGAAGAGAGCTTCCTGTGATTGCTATACAGGTGGGCATACAAGCGCTGGTTCACTAAAATGTGATCCAAATAAAACTTGGGAAGGATAGTTATAAGGTTGATGAATTTTCTACTTTTGCATTTGTGTATCCTCTTGCAGTTATAACCTAAGTTACAGAAGCCTAGCAGATAATTCACACAGATATTTTTATCATACAATAACTTCAGTACATCATCCAAGTGATCATCTTTATTTTCTCCATACCCTCCAGGGTTGACATTGTCCAGGGTGTGTCGGAACATACAGGACCCCCGTACCTGGTCAGCGCAGTAATTATTTTTGAGGAAATTTTTACAAGATGGTATTTTGGCATATATAAGCTGGTGTAAGTAATTACAGAACAGATTCTTCATGCACATGTTTTTTATGTAGTGAATACAGATGATTGAATGTTTTCCTTTTTTCTGTTGGATGTCTACTCTGTCGATCCCCTTGATGGCGAGTAAGCTAGACTGTTCCTCCAGCTTCATTTTGACCTGCTTTTCTAGGTGCATAATATGGGGTTGTTCGCTTAGGTTGACATTACCTTGGTGGGTTGAGTGAATCTTGTGGGGATTCTCGCCATACACATCGTCCTTGCCTCCTTCCCTTTGGCGTCTCTCCTCCCGCATGCTCAGATACAGCTGGAAGAGGTTCCTCCTCCCCCTTCCCTTGGCTATTCTCTTTCGGGAGATCATTCTACTGTTGGGGGATGGGCTCCTAATAAGGAGCTTCCTCTTTTGGGGAACACCCTTGGGGACCTTCCCCCTTTCTCGGGTGCGCCAACCCGTTCGATCAAGTGAGCAGTTGGGGCCACGCCGGTACAGCGATTGCACCGTACAAGTGGTAAGGAGGTACTCAAATTGGTTTACTGTTTTGTATAGAGTTTTATTCCCTTTGAGATGGTTCCCTTCTAGCCATGATGGGAGTATTATCCAGAGTATATTTCGTGCATTGCCTGCATTGCCCGCATCGCCTACATCACCTGCGTGACCTCCATCACCTGCATGGCTTAGACTCTCTGTTGCCGCTGGGGACCCTCCTTCAGTTCCACCCGCAATGCGCAATGCAAGGGTGCAGGGAGCAGCGTATTTTTAGAGGAGTGGAGTTGCTCCACTTGGGTATTTTTTTTTTTCCTTCCCATTCAATGTATCATTTGCACAGTCCCTTGGGGTTATCTCCCTTTGGCATTTTCCGCCTGGCGCTTTTTCCTTTTTAAAAAAAAATGGTCATATTTCTTAGTACACAATTTGTGCCTCCCCCTGCAAAAAGGGCTACTTCGCCTCGAGGGGCAGTGGCGGGAAGGAGATTAAATTTTGGCCGTGCCTGCTACTCCACAGGGGTGGAGTGAAACTAGCGCTCCACAAGGTAGAGACTGTTTGACGGAAACTGCCTGGAAGAGACCATTTAGCCGAGGCAGATAGCAGGTGGCGCGACAAATCAGAGGTACACAATCTGATCAGGTGTCCCACCCAAGGGAAAGCACACTCTCGTCATTCTTTAAAGGGTCCTTTTAATTCAAACATCCTTTTTTTAAAATTATGTAATAATTCGCTTGGTTAAGAAATGAGGGGAACAAAATGGAGTAGCAGAATAAGTAAACAGATTAACTAAAATGGGAGTAGTGGAGGTCGCTTAAAAGTGGCAAAATGCGCATATGGTATGAGAAAAAAAAAAAAAAAAAAACGGGGAAACTATGTCCCTTCCCCTTGGAGGCGCATGTGCATTTCAAATGGGAGGTGCAAGAAAAGGGCGCGCCTGGACGCCTCTATCTCTTTTGCAAACATGGCAGAAAAAGGAGAAAAAAAAAAACACATTGTAAAAACGCATTATAAGAACGCATTACAAAAGGGCATTCTAAAGACGCATTCTAAAAACGCTTGCTAACAGCACAGTAGGATGACTGTTCCGCTTGTCGCGCTAAGCATATGCACCTTCACGACGCTACTCCCTCCCAGGCCTAACTGCCCGCGACTTCACTTTGCTCGCTTGGGCCACTCTGACTCGGTTCCGCAGTTGATGATGCATTCACAGAGCCGCTGTGTTGCATGCTGGCCTGGGGGGTGGGCACCAAATTGGGGGGAAAAGCTGCTGGGAAGTTGGGTGGCACGTTGGGTGGCACGTTGGGTGGCACGTTGGGTGGCACGTTGGGTGGCATGTTGGGTGGGAAATTTGGCGAGAAGGATGGAGGGAAATTCGGGGGGAAGTTGGGGGGAAAACTGGGGGGCATGTTCATCGGCATATTCATGGGCATGTTAGGAGGGATGTTCATATTGGGCGGCATATTCGGTGGCATATTCAGTGGCATATTCATCGGCATGTTTGGAGGTATATTCATGGGCATGCCTGGCGGCATGTTTGGGGACATGTGTGGGGGGATGCCTGGAGGCATGTTGAGAGGCATATTGGGGGGAATGCCTGGCGGGATGTTCATGGGTGGTAGGTTTGGGGGCATGCCTCCCATCATCCGATTGCCCATCTTCGGCGGCATCATGAAGGGGCCATTCCGGCGCATTCCACTATGCATATTCATCGGTTGTTGCGTAAAACTAGACGGCATGGGGGGAGGCATATTCCCGGGAAAGTACGAATTCATAATCGGTGGCAGGGAATCGCTTGAGGGGGGATTGATAGCATTCGAAGACGTTAAGGGGGTTCGTAAAAATGGATTGCTGTCCACATTGGGCGAGACACTATTCCTTCCACGCTTGCTATTAATTGCATTTTCTGCACTAGACAAATTATAGGGCATTACATGATTGGAGCTTCCATTTCCTGAGGACAAACTTAGAGCCTTGTTGGCTGCAATGAATCTTTCAGCCGCTGTCCCATGCCTCTCCCCCTTTGAGTCCTTCTTAAAAGCATACGATATGTGTACCTTTTTGTTGCATATGAATTGATTATTCATATTTTCGATGGCCATGTCACTTGACTCGAAGTTATCATACGAGATGAAGCCGTGTCCTTTGGACGTATCATCTTCGTTTTTAATTATCCTAACGGTTACTACTTGTCCAAATGAGGAGAAGATATCGAATAGCATTTTCTCATCCACTTCTTCGTCTAGGTTCCCTATGAATAGGTTCGCTCCTACGTCGAAGGACCTTTTGTCTTGGGACGCCTTGTTGCACCGCAGGGGCTTTCCGAAGAGCTTCGTCATGTTTAGCACCCTCCCTGCGTATTCACACTCATATTCGTATTCGTACTCGACGAAGCCGTAACCTGCGGGGGGAGAGGTGAGTAGAAGCGGGTGAAGTAGAAGGGGCAGACGTACAAACGGGTGAAGTACCAACAAGTGACGTCCAGACGGGTGACATCCAGACGGATGACGTACACTATACGGTGGGCGCTTCACCCGCAGGGGTGCACCTCCTACCTGCGTGGAACCCATTGATCTTGTCCCGCGGAATGTGCACATTCTTGACGTTACCACATTGCATAAAAAGCTCGCACAGGATTTCTTCGTCCACTTGGGCGTCTAAGTTGGCTGCAGCGGAGGGAGGAGACAGCGTACACACGAGAATATATACATATACCTTTGCATGCCTCAGCAAATGTGCAAAGGCCCAGTTGTCTGCCCCGACATCCTACCTATATAGAGTGTCGCTTCATTGTTTCGTTCATATATGTGACTAATCTCCTGGCTCTTATGAGGAGCGAACATTATATGATCTTCCTATGCTGCAGTGATACTCATAAATGGAATTTCTGTTCGTCTGTATGGGGAGGTTCGTGGGCTTGGACGCTACTCACGCATAGGCGTGGCAAGAAGCGGGAGCATAAGATTCCGCAGGGGAGAGAGAGCGTGTGCGTGTATAGGGTTATGCCCCCCCACCCCAAAACGATCATATGCATGTCAGTACACGCGGGGGCACCCCACTTGATTCGCTTCGTATCGCCGAGGCTCAAACAAAAACAAACAAAAAAAAAGGACCAAACGACAGATTGTGCAAAATAAGAAGATCCCGATGAGGGGGCTGGTCGCGCAAAACGTACAAATGGCGCAGTCTCGCAGAACGCACAAATCGAAGAGAGGGACAATTCAGCCCTTCCCCCAAAAAAAAAAAAAAAAACACAATATGAAGCCTCAGAAAAGGATAACTTTTCCTATTTTTTTTTTTCTTTATTTTTCCTCTTTGGGTTAAGAAAAAAAAGAGGAAAAACTGTTGAATACCATTGGGTAAAAAAAAGGGGGCCAGGTGTTTAAACAAGTTTTCCTTTTTTTTTTGTTTTTTTTTTTCCTTCACTGGACCGCTTAAATATTCGTACGCATATACAAACACAGAAGATACCTGTGCTTATTTTATGCCCTATGTGATAGATATCTGTTAAGGGGAAAGGAGCATTATATAAGGATGGGAAGCTCCACAGGATAAGGGGCACGACACTATATGAGCGAGATGTTCACTTACTGTGGATAAAAAGAAGAGCATTTCACTGTCCCACTTCTTTCCTTTCTTTCTCTTTTATTTTTTTTCCCCTTTTGACATTGCGCTTCTACACTGTGGACGAATCCTTTCAATGGTGGAGAAAATTCTAAACGGGGCTCGCAGAAATTCACGCGGTAGACCCACGAGCGGCGCGTAAATTAACGCACAAGCGGAGAAGGCGGCCAGGAAAGCAGCCAAGAAAGCGGTGACGGAAGAGGCAGCACACGTGGAGGCAAACACGGCAAAAAAAACAGGCAGGAGGAACGGTAAAAGGGTGATGCTGCACAGTTTGGGAAATAATGACATGGAGTCAAGCCACCTGCAGCGAAATATAACTGCCTTTTTGCGAAATAACCAGATGGGGCGACAAAACAACTGTGTAAAAAGGAAGCAGTCACGGCACGCGGAGAAGAGCAGGCCGTCGTTGTGTCAGGCGGGCCTTCCACGCCAAAAGGCGACCTGCCCCTAGAACAAGCTTAAAAAAAAAAAAAAAAAAAAATAGTAGTAATAATAGTAGTAATAGTAATACCACTCACCATGGTAATAGTAATATTATTAAACCCTAAACTGTGTATGTTTCCCCCAGTGGACGCAACCCAAAAGGATAAAAAATGAAAAAAATGAAAAAAAAGAAAAAGTACACGTACGTGACCTCAAATGCACGCTCGCTCTCCTTTTGGCTTTTCTTTCTCCACGCAAAGACCATTTAAACGAAGCAGGAAAAAAAAATCCGAGGGGATACACACTCATGTGCACATCTACGTGGTTATGCACACCGACGAGGTTATGCCAACCCATTCGTTCGGGAGCGCCGTCTTCGTGTAAACTTTCCCACGATGCACACACACGTTCTGAAAAAACAACCCCTGTTTTCTGCCTCCATGGTTATCACGTCAAAAGGAGTGGAAAAAGAATCTCATCAGATGGGTATACTCCAGCTGATCTTGGGCGAGAGTTCGCCGCGTGGAACGGCTAGCTCCAGCATGTATGGCGTATTGCCCGCGGACTAACCGCCTAGTGGATTAGCGTAGCGGTAACCACGCTGCTTCACTTACGTGGTTCAAGTTGGTAGACGCACCATCGTGCAGACAAAAAAAGGATGGTAGTCTATATGAGGCGAAAAAAAGGGCACACGGACACAGGGGCATACGCGCATGCATAGGTATATACGTCTTCCCCTTGACTTCGGGTAGCGGCGCGGCTAGGGTCATGGCACGCACGCATCTTTTCCACCAGGCTCTGCTGAGGGAGATATCGTCTCGCGCCTTTCCACCGCCTTTCCCCCCTCCCCTTTCACCGCGCAACCACAGCACGCAGTACGCGTGACTCCATGTCCACCACGCAGACGTCGCGCAGCTCCTCCATCTGCAGCAACTCCACCAACTTTACGCAGTGGAAAATGCTCTCGCACAGGCGCTTGTTATAGATGTTCATCATTTTCACTTTCAACGTAGAGATGTTAATACCCCTCTTGTGAGACTTGAGAATAGCAGTGAGATAAAATTTTAACTCCTCCATGGAGGCAATATAATTTTTTGCATCACCCCCCCGTGGGTTCAGGATGCCCATCTTCGCATCCTCGTACTTCCGACACTGAGAAATAGGCTTGATAAAGTTATTTTCGTAGGCAATGATTTTTCTAGTGGCACTGATGTGAACAATGTGACATAGTTGGCCTAAATAGAGCCCCTGAAAAAATGGCAGCTTCCTTCTTTGCAGCTCCTTCGCCATGCCATACCTCCCCCCTGTAAAGGAATACATCTGGGGATCATCCGAAGTGGCTATTTCGAGTAAATATTTCTCAAATTGATTCCATACGCTCGGATCGTATCTGTCTACTGAATCGTTAATGGAGAAAAAATAATCATCGTCCACCTTTCTGTGTGCAAAATGGACCAAATAGTTGTCCGATGAAGAAGTAGAAGAAGGAGAAGGAGAAGACGAAGAAGAAGAGTAGTTCTCCTTCACTGTGTACTTCTCAGGGAACAACCCATACGCATTTCTGATGTTGTTTTTTATCAGATCCCTGAAGTTATATTCGTCTGCCCTTCCTTTCAAATTGATGATCAGCGGAATGATCCTGTCGTCGTAAAGAGAGTTTAGTAGATCCTCTAAGTCCTGCTCATCCTCTTTCGACAGACATGCCTTTAAGGCTTGTGCGGATAGCTGATGGCGCGCTTCTATAGATTTCTTCTTTCCCCTTGTGTTGGACATCCCTCGCCTTTCCTGTGACTTGAGTCGATCCAATCGACCGTTGCTGCTGCTGCTGTGGTTGTTTCTTCCGCTGTAGCTTCCCCGCGTGATTGATGAGCCCGAGACAACATTCCTATTCCACAGGGAGTTATTTCGGCTGTCTTCGAACGCGCCCTTCCCTCTGCTGCTGAAAGATAGGTCTTCCCTCCTGCCTCCAAATAGGATGCCCTCCCTCTTCGCCTCTTCGATATCCCTTTCCCTTCCCTTAAAATTCCATCTAGACCAGTTCGACCCCACCTCGTCTATGAAGTGCCCCTTTTCGAAGGACCCCACAACACCGCTGAGGGTGTCACTTCCGACACCACCACCATATGGTTGATGTATCTTCAGATTCGCTGAGTCTCTTTTCAGGAAAGAGTTGCCCCCCTTGGTAGCCAAGCTGCCGTCACGATGTGCACTTTGGGGGATTCTCATCAGGCTATTCATCCCGTGTAGTGGCACAACGTAACCATTCGGAGAGGCATCCTTTGCTGCACTCTCTCCCTCCTCCACCCTGGACACATCACTGCGACGAAGGCTTCTACTATTCCTTCTACTCAGTAATAATAAATTTTCGTTTATTTTTCTGAGCTGCTCTTCGTTGTCCTCTTCCTTGTTAGCTGTTCTTAGAGATCCACGAATCGCATCTCCCCGTTCGATGGAATAGTCCCCCCAGGGGAAAGAACCCACGTTTGCGGAGTTTCTCCCTTCTAGCGCTTTCACGGGGACGTCTGACGAGGAAATATGGGTAGGAGAGGAGGGAAGGACTGGCGAAGCCGGCGAGACGGGCCCAGCATTCCATCCTGCCTCGGTGTCGTCCCCATTTTGGCCAAACGCGGAATCGCCACCGGGTGTGCCCCTGCCAAGGCTATTACGTTGCCCACTGGTATAATCGCTGATGTGCTTGCTGATGTGCTTGCTGATCTGCCCGCTGGGGATGCCCGCCTCCACTGCTACCGCCCTCGAATTGCTGATGTTGTTTGCCACCAAACTGTTCGCTAGGAACAATTTCAGATTGGCGATGCTGCTCCTTTCGGTCCTGTTCCTCACGTGCGGGGTGCCATCATTGAACTTGTCCGCCCTCCATTTGTCCTCACGGATCGCCGCCAACTCTGCGCCTTCAGGCGGAGATCCACCTCTCACGCGATCCATTTGTGAATACCTATAATTATACGTGTCCGTTTGGCCCCTCCCCAGGAGCAAATTGGAGGTGTGGTGATTCTGGCCACGGAGGTCCACTTCTCTCAGCTGTTCAGCTGCTCCATTCCAATTGTAGTTAATCGTCTCACTCTTAAGGATACCATTTTGCGTCCTCTCTTTCGCATAGCCGATTTGTAGCTCCGTCCCAGTGGCAATCTCAGACGCTCCCTCGACTCGGTTAAAGACTAATCCTGCACGCTCTCCAACGGAGGGGCGACCCACTTGCATGCTCTCCCTACCGCTGGCGCCCCTTCCCCATTTACTACGGTTATAGTCACCTATAGAGTCCATAATATATTGACTGAGAAGCACCTCATCATCCTCGTTGTCTAGAAGAAACCCTATCTTATTCTTTAACGCTTCAAACATGACATTTTTTTTCTTAGCGATAGGGTGCGGTGAGCCATGTGTAGACTGTCCTCCATTTCGAAAGCTACCCGGTGCATTATCATGCAAAATGGGAAAGGGGGTAGTCGGGTATTTGAAGTAGTTCTTCACTGGTAAGGCCGCACTGGTGATGTCCCCCATGGTAACTCCTCTTTCCACTTGGCTCATCTTTGCCCCATCGTCCACCCCACTTAACCCGTTTGCATAGTTCCGCACCGATTCGTAATTGGCCCGATGTGCAAATGGATCATTACCACCAGTGTGCTGGTCATCGAGATGGGAATGTCTACCCCCCTCTTCCTGTGCCACATGTCTGAGAATATCCCCCTGGTAGTACGCGTGAGTTTCGCCACTAAAGAGACTTTTCCCTGTGTGCATCACTATTTCGTCGTTCGTGTTCTCCACCTTGACATTGTGAGACTCATCGTTTAATAGTTGCAATAAATTAATGTAGAGCTCTGACGTGGTGCACTCCTTCGTATTGGGTCCAACGGAAGGAGTCTTCTCATCCCATTCATCTGGAGGTGCCACATGGCTGGGCGGAGTGGTGGCACTTCTCTTCCCTTCACGGTCCCCCTTGTCGAGACCTTTCCCTTGCATGCATGTTTCTCCCTGATCGGTTCCAACCCATTCGGGGATGAAAAACAGACTTGGGGCGTTGGGGACATCTTGGCCATTTGGGGCATTCGAATCGGTGTACTCGTAGCCTTCCCTCTTGTACTCCCCCGCATTCGTGTCATCACGATGGTCCATCATCCCCCTGAGGTCGTGTTTCACTTTCACGCCGTTCTCTTCATTTACGCTGTCACCGCTTGTTCCGACTCTTTCTGTTTTAACTATTTCTTCGCCCGACGGACGAAGATTCTCCCCGCTCGATCTTGAGCTTTCCCATTTGAAACCAATGCCTGCTTCGTTGCCCCGGTCGCTCTTCACATACGTCTCGATGGTGTGATGGCTCAATATGAGGCTGTTCTCCAGGGTGGGGAGGTCGAAGCATACGCTTTTCCCCTTTTCGTAGCCATCAAAAGGGAGGGCATCTTCCCCTTGTACGCGTTCTTCCATGTCTTCCCCTTCGACGTGTGCCCCTTCGATGACTGCCTCTTCTTCGCATTCTCCCATCTCTCGATACTTCCTAATATAGTTACAAAGGAACTCCCTGTTGCTGCCGCTGAGAACTTGGAACAGATTCTTGTTCAGCTCCTGTGGCTTCCCCGTTTGGAGAGTCTCTAATCCCCCGATGTGTCCGTTACTACCGCCCAGCTGCGCTAGCAGGAGTTCCACATTAGTGCTGTAGCGTTCCTGTTCCAATGAAGATCCACTCATAGGAAACGCATCATCAGCATTATCATCACCACCCCCCTCCAACGTGTCGAAGTTTCCGCTCGGCTCCATTGGACAAACCCCCCTGACAACATCATCTATGAGATGCTCACCTCTCCCCTCGGCCATCTTCATGCTTACACCATTCTGCACACTCTTACCTTTTGGCGCATTATAAATTTCTTCGTTCTTCATCAACCAGACTCCTGGGTTGCCATTTCTGTTAAATGATCCAAAATGGTTAAACAGCGACTTGCTTCCGAATATGTTGTATTCCCGTTCGTCCCCGCTCGTGAGCGCCTTCTTCAGCCTCAAGGCGTGTGCACAGTTTCCACCCCTAAGGGATGCTCCTGCGGAGGCCTCTCCCACGTTTGCCGCCTCTCCTACCAACTGTACGGCCCCATTTGGGTAACTCCCACTCTCCATCGTCTCAAACTCGTACGTGTTGTCCAAATCCCACTCGACGTTCAAGCTATTATTTTTTGTTTGGAGGCGCGAAATGGTTTCACCGAATTCGCTACTTTTGTTGTGGGTGCTCTTCACGTTACCATCCCTTTTCGACGTCACCGAGTCGTCACTTTTTGCCAGCTCGAATATTTCCGATAGGTAACTCTTAATGTAGTTGAAATTCTCTACTTGGTCGTTCTCCCCACTGGTTTTTCTCATCTCCGCTTTTTCATTTTCTTTACTTTTCCTTTGGGTGCTCTCAATAGTGGTTTCTACATCTTTCGCCATTCCGTTCTTCCGCGGTGTAGTGGCATTCTGGTTGTTCCTTTTACTTGTCTTCTTCATCCTCGTTGGGAGCTTCTTCAAATGATTGCTACAGCGAATGAGCCACGAGTCCGTATTGCTTCTCCCGGTGAGGTAAGCTCTATGCTGTTCTTCTCCAGAGGTGACTACCTGAGATGTATTTTTATACTAGGTAGTGGGGGCTTCCTTCCACAGGGTTACACACTTATTTTTGTGAGTGTGGGGTAACCTTTCTCTACTTCGATTTTCACAATATGATACGATATGTCGCGACTCAGGTGGGTCTATAACGTGCACGACACAACTGAATGGTGCGGATGACTGACTATTCAAATTATGCAACACTTGCATTACCCCAGATGCAATTATGAGGATCTCCTCTCTCTTACAATCTGCATAAAATTTCGTGTAATATTTAAAAGAGTCACAAGCACCCCTCTCATGCGTAGGCGCACTTATCGCCGAACAAACACATAAGGGTAAAAAAAAAAAAAAGGAAAAAAAAGAAAGAAATATGGACAGCTTCGCTTGAAGGTGCTGACTTGTAGAAGCCGCTAAAACTTCTGCTACAGGTCGAGCCAAACAGAACAACAAACAGGCATGTACGCATGTATGTATGCTCATGAATACGCACTACAAAATGGTGCGTAAAAAAAAGGAGGGCACAAACAACAACCACTACGTGGGGAAATTAAAACAAGAGTAAATACCCCCCTTTTTTTTTTTTCTTCATAAAACACTTGACAGAATCCATACACAAACTAGCTCTTAGCTCTCCAGAAAAAAAAATGCACACAATGGAGGCAGTAAAAAAGGACAAAACTAGTACTTCGCATTAGGAATAACATATGCGTAACGGATAAATAGTTCAGTGGGAACCCCAAGTCTTCTTTGTAGATTTTATATACACAATACGGTGAGGAGACGATTTTCCTAAAAATATACGTAGACAGTGGTAGTTCTATAAATGGGAACTACACCAACTTGGGGAAGGGGGAAATGGCAGCAGAGGGAAGAAAAAGGCAGGGTCGAAAAAAATGAAGGGTCGAAAAAAATGGAGGATCGCACAAAATGGAGGATCCAATAAAATTGAGGGCCGCACAAAATGGAGGAATACTTCTTCCCCTCTATGGTGCATAATAATAGGCACCGACGCAGGACGCACTACTCGAAGCTGCTGTGTCACGCGCGAAATGAGAAATGTGAACGGCAAAAGACTAAGCCGTTGCACTATAAAGTGGTTCAATCTATATGTACACAATTCATTCGTGTCACTCGATGGACAGATGTAGGGCCCATGGAACGATTTAAAATTCGACAATTACTAACTCGCAATCGGTTCCATGGATGTGTATACAAATGTATGTGGTGGAACAAGGGGGAAGCAGGCTTCGTCTTGCTTTCTTCGCGTCGCAACAAGGGGAAAACGAACATGCGGGTAGTATGTACATATACGTTTACATATACGTACACATATACTCATGCATGTGCATATACGTGTATGTACGCTGGAGCGCGATATTTTCCCCCTCCCGTGGTGTTTGAAAAATGCAATTTAAAAAGGGTAAATTAAAGTTGCAGGCCAAGTGCAACAGCAGAGCGTCCTTCGAATAGCGGGCTACGACATGGCAAGGGTGATACAATAGTGGCGAACAAAATGAGGGGAAAAAAAAAGAAAACAACTGTTACTACACTGGCTAACGAGTTCCTCCTTTCCCGCGCTCATAAAAACATAACATTCGCGGAGTGTGTCTTAAATCGCGCCGGTAAACTTACTCCTTCTCACAGAAGTGCCGAATGAACAACGGATTCAAAAGGAATGGTGGCTGATGTTGAGAATTTTCAATATTTTTCGAGCATACACAAGTGTTCACATTATTCTGCATACGAGAAAATTAACAATAACAACAAGTACATTTTTTTAAGGGAAAATTGGGAGAAAACTGTTTTGAATTAAAAAGGAAGTCGAACGGGAAAAATTTTTGTAGTTGCTGCGCGCAGGTGGACAATGTGGCATGGAAGAAATAGCAAAATGGTGAAAGATAGGAACAATAAGGCAGAGAAAGGGCGAAATAGCTAGCTAGCCAAATAGGTTGCAGAATATGGCTATTCTGGCAAGGTGTCGCAAGACGTGTGCAAAGCTTTCTGAACTGTTACTTACGATAAAAAAAAACATCATGCACATTTTTGCGAAAAAAAAAAAAAAAGGTGTAGAATAAAAATTTTATGAACGGTTCATATTTTTTTTTTTTCCGAAACAGCTAAATGGCTAGCTACAGTTGTAGTTCCCTCCATTTTTTTATCGCTAGCCTTTTTAACAATTTTGGAAATTAAAAAAATGCTGGCGATCTATGGACAGTTTTATTTTTTTTTTTTCCATCACGTCTAAGAATTATCAGGAGTGGGAAGGAGATAAAAAAGTAGCCACGTGGGGATCTCTAACGGGTGGGGCTGTCTAGGAATAGCTTTTTCCCAATTTATAAATAGCTTTAGAGGTAGCTACAATTTGTTGGGAGGACTGGGACGGTCGGCAAGCTGCTCGGTCTGTTGGGCACATGCACAAAAAGGCTCGGACGTTCGTCATTCGCACACGAAATGTTCAAACGGAATGTGCATACGCGAGTTCTGCTACTCCCTATATCGAGCGAGGCTACCCAGCGGCTTGGCTGTTCCACAGATCCATATGGACACATTCGTGCGTACAAAAAAAAGGATAGGGGCGATAGAACCCCTGATGGGCGCAGAAACGGTCAACCGCTAACCGCGACGCTTAGGGACAACGTCACTGGAGAATAAACTGAGCAATTTGCTCATTTTCGCCATTCAGGCCCCCCTTGGCGCCAACCGCGTCCCTCACTCGTTTCACATCATTCGATGGGACATTTTCGCCCAGTATAACGTTGTTGAAAAAGGTTAAAATGCGGAGTAAAATCTGCTCATCGTTCGTTTCGTTAAACGCGTTAAAAATGTGGTGGAAACCCTTTGTCCGTGTTAAAAATGTCGGGAGGCGCAAATCAGAGGACAACATACCAAGTGCCCCAGTAGAAGCATAAACGGCCTTGTAATTTTCCTTCTCCATGGTAAAAGAATACATTATTTGTATGTCTACGAAATTAATTTGTTCATCCTTTCCTTCCCTGTCGGAAATTTTTTTATATTTATCATACACATACTGATGGACGTGGGGCTGAGAACATAAGTTGCATATGCACTCTAAGCTGGACGACCGAATGGACTCATTTTCCGATACGAGGATATCGAAGCACTTGTTCCACAAATTCAGTTGCATGGCTTTGATGGCTACGTTCTCGTCAATGGTCAATATATTCGTTATGGCCATTAAGGACTTGAACACAACCAGCTCTTCTTCGTTAGCCAGTTCCTGAATCAGCAATGGGAGTGAATCATATGCCTCGTAAAACTGAATCAACTTAGGGTTTGTGTAAATAAAAATTTCGCTCAAAGCTAAGGCACAGTTTTTTTTATTAGCAATATGTTTGGACGCCAGGAGGAGGGTCTTCAATCCATTGTTTACAAGTACGAGGCCAATATTTTTTGTATCTTTGACAAGCTTGGAAATGATGCCACACACAGCTTCGGCTATGTTGGTGGTAAAAAAATTGGTGTTAATAAAATTATATATGATGTTAACGATTGCGCCATTTTTGTACTTGCCCCATTTGGGAAGGATGACTCCTTCGGCCCCTTTGAGTAGGATGCCTTCTTCCCCCCCTTTTTCTTTCACCTTCAGCGCATAGTTCTCATTATACAACAATAAGTTAATTAGCCGATTACTCGTTTCTTCATCTCCATAGTCATACAGGGGGTCCGTCTTCGGTTTGGCTGCTGTGGGTAACTTCTCGTAAAATTGTTCCAGGGCTTCAATTTGCTCCGAGTCGAAGTTGGATAAATTGGTTTTGTTAATTTCTCTTCGCCTGATCTTTTCATCTTTTCTTGTTAATATTAAATTGTTAATGGTGTTGCAGTATAGGTATTTGTACGTGTTGTCTAGCTTCTTCTGGTTTATATCATCTCCCACTTTGATGAGGAAGAAGAGGATGTAGTGGTTGTCCTTCTCAAGGAGCTGCTTTTTAAATTCGATGTGCAGGCTGAGGTAGAAGACCATTTCGATGAGATTCTTCAGCGCGTTTTCGTCGTAATCTGTGCTGCCATGCGAGGAAACGCTCGTTTGTTCCTTCGCCATTTTGCTCACGAGTTCGCAGTTCTTTCTGCCACTGTGCGAGGTGTTTGCGGTGTTTTCGGTGTTTTCAGTGTTTGCGGCGTCGGAGGGCTGCTCCGATGACTCAAGAAACTCTCGCTTCAGCAGACGGGTTGGGGGGTCCTTCTGAGTGGGCCCATCCTCAGGTAGTTTGCTCATTTGCCCATCACACCGCAGAAGGAAGCGCTTCAACAACTCCTTGGCGTAGGAAAACAAGTCGACTCTTTTGGAAATTTCTTCTTTGAACTCTTCGCTGTGCATATACAGTTTGAAGGAGCCCACGAGGAACTTTAAAAAATTCTCGTCATAGGGAAGGCTCCTCAAAATGGTAATGTACACATCGATGTAGCTGTTTAGCATGAAACGCAGCTCTGGGATGTTCAGAAGTAGAAGCAGAACGTCGATGAAAAGGGAGACATCTTTCTTTGGTTTCCTTCCCACGGAGTTATTAATAAAGCTAAGTATATCACACATGTATTGATTTTTTCCGATTAGGTAGTTAAGAACAATACTTTTGTCTACCAGGAAGAGACACTTAACGGATAGGAACCACTCCAGGCCAATATCCTCTGGTTTGAAATACAAATCAATGCACTCATAGATCAGGTCATTCATTTCGGTGTCCTTTTCGCTCGGTCTATTTTTATCATGCAGAAGAGAGAAGATAAGTATTATGGCGTACTCCACGTCACTGGCGAAATTCTCATGCATACTTATGCACTGCTGAATCGTTGTCTTAATTTCTAGGCTGGCACAGAGGGGGTGCTTGCAGACGTCGCCAAAGTGGGCTTCAATCAAATAGTGCTGGGTATCCACGTTGCCATCTTCCCTTAAGGTGTGTAAAAAGGAGACTGAACTTTTTCCCCTATTTGTGTTTCTCCTCTGTATAAAGAATTTTTTTTTTTTGCAGAGGAAAATGATTGCATCCAGTGCACTGCTAGCCATGTCTACGTCGTCATTAGAGAGAAAATACACATTGAGCATTTTTATGACTTTTCCATTTGTCACTACATGGATGTACTTGACGATGTGGATGGTAAAGATGAGAATATCCTTCACAAGTTGGTAGCTCTGTTTGTTCTTATCAAATTTGAGAATTTCCATCTGATTGATCTTACCCTTTATATAGCTGTTTATCCACTGCTCATCGAAGGACTCATGGAAAGACAAAATGGTTTTCACGAAATGGACGTCGTAGTAATAGTCCAGCTTCATGTCACTGACCTTGTTGATGCAGACGTTGCTACTTCTTGACGTTTCCTCTGCATCTCTTTCCATTTTAGACACCAATTTGTACATGACGTGGAGACATGCCTTCTCAATGGATAGGGGGTTCTTCTCCCCACGATTCAACACTTGGGAGAAAAAATGGAAAATATTTTCCCTCAAGAGGGTGTGTATTTTATGCTTATAAATGGTATAGATCATTTTTACTTTCTCTTCTTCCGTGCTGGCATCATCAAGAATGGTCTTCTTAATCATATCAATGGTGATACCTACCCCCTCTTTCTGATGCTTTGATTCTTCCATTTCTCTGATTAACCTCTTCAGCTTGTCATTGATTCGGTTCACTTCGTTTCGCAGATCAGCACTACCGCGGGGGGAAGCGTCATTGGAAGTGCCAGAACCGACCTCCTTCAAGAGGACCATCTTGCAACGCTCAAAAGATTCTATGCATTTTTTGTAATTCTTTAACTTCTCGTAGCAGAGGCCCAAGGTGTGGTAACTCTTGTAGTGTTTCTTATCCATCTCGCTTACATACGAGGAGTAATCAATTGCCTCTTCCAGTCGGTCCAGGAAGTAGTAACATAAGGACACATTGTGGCATATTTTCGTGAAGAGGTCTTTCACGTGCTGGTTGAGGTTGGGGGGATGATCTCCGTTGGTACCCTCGGGGACGTCCACCTCCTTTTTTTCCCCCCTTTCGCGAAAAAACTGGACGCAGTTTCGAACCTTCGTGGAATCGACTGGCTCACCACAAATCTGCGCAACGGCGCCCAGGTAAACACCTAGAGCCTCTTCATACTTCTTGCTCCGGAACAGTTTGTTCCCCTCGTTTTTGGTTTGGTCCAGCAATTGGGCGCTGGCAGGGGTAATCTTGGGTGCGTCCATTGGGGATGCGCGTTGGGAGAAAAAGGAGTTCGTCGGGAGAGAGGTGTTCGTTCTCGGGAGAGAGGTGTACGTTCTCTGGAGAGAGCTGCTCCTTCCTCTGGAAAGATCTATGCTTCTGTTGGGCAGGGGGCTCCCTCGTCGGAAGCGCGAGTTGCCTGCGCTGTTCTGGGGGGCATTGTGCAGCCAACTCTCGCAGACCCACCCGTTCGATGTGCATTAAAGCTGCTTAGCAAGGTTTCCCCCTCGGTCGGGCGAAAATGATACCTTCACTTTGCGTGCTTCCCTGAACATGGGTGGGAAGTCGGAACTGTCCCATTTTTTCGCCTGAACGTGTTTCTGTCATTTTGCTAAATTGCTCATTTTACTAATGTAATTTCTTTTGTAATTTTTTTTTTTTTTTCCCGTGCGCTCGGCTATTTCCACTCCGCACAGGGGCCCACACGCGCGTGTTGCCTCGCATCCCGTGCAACGCGAAAAGTGCGCCCGCTGCCCTGACGGCATGGGGGCGGTCTCCCAATCCACCAGCGTTCTGCGCAGTGGGGTATCACCCAGCAGTTAACCGCTAATTGGCGAGCCGTTCACTGCTAATTGGCTACCCTTGTGGCACTACGTAGTGTGACAGAGTGGAGCACTGACAACTGCACAACATGAGCGCAAGGTGCCGGGGAACAACACCAAGAAAAAAAATAAAAATAAAAAGTCTTCCTCCACATGGGCACTATGCCTCCACGTGCCCGAATGTATCATAAGCCGGCCCAAGTGGTTAAGCGGCAGATAAAAGTGACCCACAAGAAGGAGGCAGAGGATTGTGCAAAGAAAGGTGTAAAGAATGGCTCAAACGGTGAGGCATGCAATGACACAGTGCGCTGCACACGTGGTGACCCGCTTCGCAACCCGAAGGGCGCATATTGCAACGAGGAGAATTTCAGCAACTGCGCTGACTTCTTATTTTCCACCCCCCGGAGGAACCTGTGGAATAAGAATAAAAAACACACCTGCGTTGTCCACGCTTGGAAGGGAAATCCCATGTGAGAGCTGCCACAGAGACAACTGTGTGTCATTTTCGAAGGTGCATTTTGCCACACTAAATAAAGGGGGAGACACGCGGAGGGATGATGCATATGGCTTTGAGAAGGAGGCCGGTACAAGGGTGTCCACTTTGTGCAGAGAAAAATCGGATGATCAAAATGTGTGTAACGGGAAAACAAATGAAGCGCAAAGCGGCCATGTAAAAGGGGGCGCTTCAGATATTGTCCTCCTGAATGAAGGTGGTACCCCCCTCGCAGGTGATGACCCACAAGTGACACCCACCGATGTGATAAAAAATGAAGTTGCAACGGAAGAGGGAAGGGAAAAAGCCACAAAAGAATACATGGTCCTAATGTTCACATGCAAAATATGCGAAAAGAGAAGTGTGAAGAAGTTTTCAAAGCAGGCATACAATAACGGGGTGGTTATTATTCGTTGCCCGTCGTGTGAGAACCTGCACTTGATTTCGGATCAGCTGGGATGGTTCCAGGAGGGGAAGACCAACATCGAGGATATTCTAAAACAGAAGGGGGAGAACGTCATTAGGAAGTTTTCCTACAACAACCTTCTCGAGATCGACGATCTGCTGAATGCGTACAAGTGAGTCGCGCAATTGGCGGCGCCGACGTAAATGCACTCATGTGGATGTACTCACGCGTGCCTGTGGGTAACATAATACGTGCGCGCATGTACACATACACATCCGTATCCACGTGTGTTCCTTTGGGGAGAAGAGGCCCCACATTGGCAAGAACTACAGTTATCACGTTTTGGTGCATCCTGTTTGGACCATTTTTTCCGTCATTTTTGTCGTAATTTTTGTCCTCATTTTTGTCCTCATTTTTGTCCTCATTTTTTTTTCCCATGAGAAAACCACAAATGTTAAGTTCGTCCGGGAATGGGAGTCGATTATCCGCTCCCCCGAAAGGGTTCCCTCCCTTATGCTCATGTGCAGCAGAGCCCCTCCCGTTTAGCTGGTAATTCGCCTGTGCGTAATTGGCAAATTGGAGAGACCAAGCAGCTCCGCTAGATGCGTTTGAATAATGATGGCATGGACTTTTCTATATGTCCTTACCTCGGACGTGAGGTAACTTCCGATAGGGGTCTCTCTTATACAAAGCGGCGATGCTGTACATGCAAGGGTGAAGGGAACTGCCCCGGTAAGTGCCTACCCAGATCGGCGGTTTTCTAATATGTGTGGTTGGTTAGGCGGGTGGTCAGCAGTGATATGTCAGCCGGAGTATCCTCTATGGAGGCCCCCCTCTGTGAACAGTGGACGAACCGCCATGATGCTGATATGGTTCGCCAAATATGCTTTTAAAAGGAGCAGAGCGGGAAGTAGAGGCCCTCCGAGGATGACGGGTAAATTTTTCCCTAATTATTATAAGCCGCCCACGGCATGAACGAACAGAGCAAAGGTTGAGTCACAAAAACAGGGGACGCTCCTCCCCTTGAATTGTGCTCACATGAAGCTGTGCCCAAGTGTACATATTCATTCGCGTAGCTACGTTAAGGGGGGAAGAAAAAATATCTTTTTTTTAATGATGCCATGTAGCGGAAGCCATTTCTTCCCCCTTGGGAGATCTGTCCATTGGCTGGTGCACCACCCGTTGCACGTGATGGATGCGCGTGCTAAGTAGCATGCAACTTGGCTGCCGCATGGCGCTCACATTTGCGCTGCTCCCCTTGCGCATATCGGCCTGCGCGCGTTGTTGCAAAACTGCCTCGAAATATTTGCATACGTTCGCAATTTTGCCCACATTTTTTGACGTTATTTTGGAGGCTATTTTGAGGTTATTCTTTGATGCTATTTTGCTGCTACCCTTCGCCCTTTTCCATTTGGTTGCTTAATTTTTTCTTCGATGCTGTGTTGAGATCCCCCTGAGAGAAATTGCCAACATGTTAGCGGCCCCCCATAGTTGTATTAACCTTCCGGAAGCCGCTTGACAACTGCGTGGAGAGGGCGACAAACTTCTTGACCATTCGTTCCACCCCCACACGACGGCGCTTCAAGGGAAAAGGTACATGAGACTGCTAGGGACGCTGCTAATTCTGGTGCCCCTGCAAGTGAAGGCGCGCTGTGACGTTCTTAGCAGAGTAAACTCCAAACTGTCGAGGGGGACGTTCAGCAGCTTTCTCACGAACAGGCATAGTAAGGCCACGTACATCATACACAGGCCACTGTCTAGGGAGAGAGAAAAAAGGAGGTACACGCTTTTAAGCAGAAGAAGGGTGAGTGCCCACAACGTCACGTTAGGAAGCGCGTACCTAAGTAGCGTCCCATTAGGAAGTAGGCATCTATGTAGCGTGCCGTTAAGCAGTGCACACCCAAGCAGCGCTCCGTTGAGAAGCATGAAAGAAAGCCACGCTGAAGCAACCGGCTCATCCGCCGTGGAAGCCACCCGCATAGAGGAGCAGATAGAAAGGTGCAGCCAGGAAATATCGGCCCTGGTCGAGAGGAACGAATGCATCCGAGGAATAAACGATGAGGAGCTCCAAAAAGAATACGGCGCGAATGAGCAGTCCTTGGAGGAGAAGAAGCGGAAGTTGAAACGGCTGTATAGTGTCCCAAGCCAGCGACTAAATTTGGCAAATAATAGAACCAAAGTGGAGAACTTGGCCAAAAGGAAGCTCTTTTATACCAACTCGTTTGAGATTTATGGAGGTTCTTCAGGGCTAATCGATTACGGCCCCTCCGGATGTCTTCTAAAATCAGAACTTGAGACCCTCTGGAGATACCATTTCATTTTTTATGATGAGATGCTGGAGATTTGCGGAACGTGCATAACCCCCTACAATGTCTTGAAGACGTCGGGACATGTCGACCGGTTTACCGATCTTATGATCAGAGATGCTGTCACGGGGGATTTTTACAGAGCGGATAAGTACATCGCGGAGTACTTAACGAGTAGGGTAGAGGAGGGAAAGAAGAAGCAGGAAAAGGATGCGGTGAAGAAAACAGAGGAGGATGAGCGGTCGATGGGTAAAAGGGATGATCATCAGGGGAAGGACCACCAACTTGAGCGGGACCACCACCTCGGACAGGGCATCCGAATCGATAGCGCCGACCATATGATGGCAATCGTGAGGAGGCTCGACGGAATGAACGCCCAGGAAATAAAAGACATCATCAAGCAGTACGATATAAAGTCTCCTTCCAAGAACGACTTCGTGGGTCCCTTCCCCTTCAATCTCATGTTCCAGACGAGGATCGGCCCGAAGGAGGACGTAGAGGATAACACTGCGCAGAGGGGAAAATCAAATGAGTCGTCCCCCCACGCAGACGCAAATCAACTCAACAGCATTGCATTCCTGAGGCCAGAAACTGCCCAAGGAATCTTCGTCAATTTTAAGAAGCTGCTAGAGTATAATGGAGGCAAGATGCCCTTCGCAGGGGCCCAAATCGGACTGGGGTTTCGAAACGAGATATCTCCAAGGAATGGCCTTTTGCGTGTCCGTGAATTCGAAATGGCTGAAATTGAGTACTTTGTCAATCCGGAGAAAAAATGCCACGAGAAATACCACCTCTTCAAGCACCTCATCCTTCCCCTCTACCCGCGGGAGGAGCAGCTTAGAAGTGGACAGGACAGCGATGGGGAACACAGCCGCGTCGTCCACATGCAAATCGACGAAGCAGTCATGAAGGGAATTATTGCCAATGAGGCCTTGGCCTACTTCCTCGCAAGGACATATCTGTTCCTGCTAAAGTGTGGTATTAACAAAGACGGCCTCCGATTTCGACAACACTTACCCACGGAGATGGCTCACTATGCGAATGACTGTTGGGACGCAGAGATTCTGACTTCCTATGGCTTTATCGAGGTGGTGGGACACGCAGACCGATCTGCATACGACTTGAAGAATCACATGAAGGTGACAGGGGCGAATTTATATGCCTGCGAGAAGTATGATACGCCCGTGGAGGAAGAGCATATCAAGATTTCTCCGAACAAGGCAAAGATAGGAATGAAGTTTAAGAGCCAACAGAATGCGATATACCAGTGGCTGAATGAGAGGACAAAGGAGGAACTGCTATCCATCGATGAGGAGCTGAATAGGAACAACTCCTACGTGGTCAACATAAGCTGCAGTGGTGCTCCCTCCGCTGCCTGCGCTTCCTCTGCCTTTCCCCCCCCCTTGACATTCGAATTGACCAGAGATATGCTCAAATTTGAAAAGAGTAAAAAAAAAGTGCAGGAAAGGAATTTCATTCCGAATGTCATTGAGCCTTCGTTTGGGATTGGGCGACTCATTTTTTGCATCATAGAGCATTCATTTCGAATCCGCACCTTTACCGATGACAAAGAGGAGAGGCATTACTTGTCGCTACCTTATGCACTGGCCCCTGTCAAATGTTCCGTGTTAACCATATCGAACCATAAGACGTTTGTTCCCTTCGTCAAGCAGGTTCAAATGATCCTCAATGAATTTAGCATCTCCTCCAAAATTGACAACTCCAGTGTCTCCATTGGGAAGAAGTACGCTCGTACGGACGAAATAGGAATCCCCTTTGCAGTCACCATCGACTTCCAGACGGTGAAGGATAAGACGGTCACACTTCGAGAGAGGGACTCCATGCTGCAGATCAGGATTCGCATCTCCGAGTTGGTTGGAATTGTCACTTCCCTCCTTCACCAGAAGAATACTTGGGCAGATTACGTCGCCCAGTACGGCCTCTTCACGCAGCAGAATTTGGACCCCTAGGGAAGGGGGGTCATCACGCAGAGCGGCCATGAGGGGGGACCACCATCACAGGGAAAAGGCATCTAACGGAGGAACCATCAGGGGGAGCGGCCATATGGTAAGGTCGTCTTTCCCATACCGCTGCAAACTGCCTAACAAAACACCAAGCGGAGG